TAAGTGTCAGATTGCCGGCAGGCTGTGTCCTTGAATGCACTTACCATCTGAATCGCGTATACGCCGCGTTGGCCGCCGCTCACAATGCCAGTGAAAGTGGAGCTAAAGAGCCACGGGCAATTGGCCAAAAAAACTGGGCCACGTGAGTTGGGAATTGCCAAAACTAATCTCGGCCACTGACAAATGCACATACGTTTATATCGCAATAATGCAGCCTGCAATTAGTGGGGGATTGTCATAGTGCTCCCGCACTTTGTAACCTCGGCAACCACTTGATTAAATTAAATGCCGACCTTTTTCAGATCCCGACACTGTTTATATGGGTCATGCATGAAATTTCATATTAATATGGGGCATGTGTGTCCGCACTTGCGTTCTTTGCTGCATGTTGGCATTTCACAAAATTAACTGCCTTTATCTAGTTTTTCTCCAGGCTGACAAACCATTAATTTAGCGGAAGAGTTGGTTTTCTGTGTCATTTGAGCCCCTCGCACACGAACCCATGTCGGCGAAACGCACACCAACTGGTAATGGCCCTGGCTATATACTATATATGGTATACAGTATATGTATGTGCGGCAAGAATGAATTAATGACAATGCCAGGAACAAAGATATCTAAGTGGTAGTTTGTCCATGTTATTATATAAATGCTTTTGGCCTTAAGTGTAATGAATTGTGATGGGGATTTTCATTATTAAAACGGTTTAATTGAAAATTCTAGGACAGACGATTGAAATTAATTGAAACAATTTTTGTAACAGGTTTATTGATCAGAAAGATATTCTACAGATTGTTTCTCTTTCCATAATTTTAATCTGCAAAATTGTTACATCAGACAATCATTTCAAGCCCGTAAGTTTTAATCAGACAAACTTCTCCCCGGGGAAAATCCCCCTTCGCTCTTATTCAATTTAACTCTTTTTCGGCAATTTTCGCCTTGTTTGCCCCCGCAAAAACAGATTCGCACATACCCGTGGTCTGATTTATGTGCATAATTAGCAAGAAATTGCATAAGATTAGTTTTAATTAGTTGGAGCAACTTTTGGGCAAAGAACGTGCTTCTGCTGCTCGGCCAAAAATACTGAATAAATAAGTTGCCTGCAGTTCAGTCGTTGCCAGAAGCCAAGAAACTTCTGGAGACCTCCTGCATCCGGATCCGGATCCACTGCGTGTGCAGCACGGGTTATTCCACTCTCCAGCGAAAGTGCAAGGAGCCGCCTGCAAGGGAAATAAACAAAAACTTTTTCACTCGACGCCCGAAAAAGCAGGCAACGATTTCTTACACGCGGTTGGCTTCCAGGCTCTTCATCAGAGATGCCTGAAGTTTATTGCGGATATCTATTATTACGAAATTCCAGCTGGTAATTTATTACAAAGTAAACTTAAAAATACGAAATGCCTTAAGGTGTATTATAGTACTTTATAGAGTATATGTGAGCCACATTAACATTGCATACGTACACAAATAAACATATAAAATCTTAAGATTTATGTAACAAGATATCAAATATATATATATTTTTAGAGGCTTTATAAACCATAAAATCATATCACTAGATACTTTATATAATATATGGGATGGAAAAATAAACAGTAAGATGTTTAACAACAAGATATTAAAAAGAAAAATACTAAATAACATTATATTAAGGTTTTATCACCATAAAAAATAAAAATTAAGGTTATCTACATAAAAAAGGACATCACTAGATGTATTAATATAAATATTTGACATCTATTTAAGATTTTATAACTAAAGACATTATTCTGAAAACGAAAGCTCTTCGAGGAAATTGGCATCTCTTTTCTGTCCATATCCTTGGTCCTTTCCTCGCTCGAGCAGCAAATGTTCGCGCATTATTTTTCATTTGCATTGCGTCATTTGTACAATGGAGCTACTGAAGGAGCAGCGCCTGGCCAGGAGCCACTGTCTGCTCGGACGGTTGATTTACGGTGACCCCTTTCGGGCGGAGCACTCCGTTCCTCCAGCTGTTGCGCCCCCTCCTCCGCCGCAGTTGATTGCCAAGGCGATCGCAAAACGTTGCCCGGGTAACTACAATAACAATTCCGACTTTAAGCTGCCACATATGGTAGGTACGTTGTGTGCCCACAATCGAGTGCTGCTTTTAATTGCCTGCATAAAAAATAAAGACGTTTCCAGTCCATACCAATTGTTGCTCGGGAAAGCGTTATTAAAGTTTCAGTTACGGTGAGAACATTTAGGGCCGGTCGGTTTAAGGTTTTCAATAGAAAAAGTCCACTTAAGAGTTGGTGTTTCGGAAATATTTATAAATAATGTATACCAAAATTTTTGGTAAATGAAATGTATGTTTTAATGTATTATTTAGGATCTTGCATAGAAAAATCATTTAAGGAGTTTGGGTTTCGATATACTTATAACTTATGAGTAATGTATACCAAAAGTTTGTTAAATGAAATGTGCGTTTAGTTAATGGATATCAAGGAACATAGCAATTGGTAAACTTTTCCTATTTAAAAATATATCTAAAATATTTTAGTAAAGTCCTGATGGACTCATCACTCTCTTTGTTGCCTTTCTCCGCCATTTGAGCTTAACTTGGCTGTTTGCATATAATGCACAGCGAACTTTAAAGCCAATACCCGTTTTATGGAAAACTTTCGACAGTGGGCAAACATTTGCCAAGTCTTCCAGCTCTTCTTGGCGAAGACTTCTTCTTCGTCCTTTAGTCGTTAGAAGTGTAAACAGTGCCTCAGTTTGCCCGCAACTATATAGCGAGTATGGAAACTATATCCCGCTTTTGTGGCGAACTCCCAACACACACATACATATGCCAAGCATCCTTTCGCCCGCTTCAAGTATTCGCATTTGGCCGCTGCACTTTTCGCCAACTTTTGTAAAGCACTCACGTACACACGACGTTGCATGTGTGCAAGTGGAACGTGCTGGCTGCCAATTGTATTGCGTAAGTGTGCGGCATTGGGGACACTGCACAGGGAGAAAATTCGGGAGTTGGTACTTAAAAAAATATAATTATTTTTTAAGGGTGAAAACCAATTTTGAGTCTATTTCTTGAGTTTATATAATAAATTAATATTTCATAGAACAGATAACATGTTATTATAAAATAACCGTATGAATTAAATAGATATTCAAAATCTGAAGTATTTAAAAATCTGTTTTAAAAATGATGCATCTTATCTTTCGGTTTAGCTATCTGTATACCATCCTCTTTTTTCCATGTGAAACTTTCCATACAGAAGTCTGTGAAAGGAAGTGCTGAACCGACTGCCAAGTGGGCAACTCGTGGTGTAATCAAATTATTCCTGTGCCTGCACCCGCCAAGTTGATTCTGATTCCTGGCCTTCCTGCTCACCGGGGTCATCATGCGTGTTAATTAATTCCAGATGCCCCGGCTGCGGCTCTGACCCACTGACCAAACCGACATCGGGAGCCCGTGTGTGCCTGCCGATCAATTATGCTAACGATGGCTAGCAACAGTATCGTCTGCCAGCTGTCTCTCATTTCGTTTGCATTAAAAATTAAACAAACTTGTGCAAATGTGAAGTGGAATGAAATGACAGCAGGAGCACGTGCCTAGCGACTAAAATCCAGCCAGGTGATCTGGGCTCAGGTGGACAACCTGCAAACGATTTTGACTTCTTGAAAATATTCATTTTACAGAATATTTACGTTCCCCCAACAGGAATTATTTAACTTTCAAAATAAATACACATATCTCACCCAATAAAAACAGCCAGCTTATCTCCATTATTTTAGGATATTTTTCTGAAATAAAAATAATAACTTTTTTTTATGCAAGATTAATTGCATTCCTAAAGAACAGTTATTAAATTTTGTATTAGCTTTCTCATTAAAAAAGCATGCTAGTCTGGCATTAAATATTAAATGCTTATCAGTTGCAGCCAGAAATCACTTTAAAGCTACAAATGTGTGTGCAAATAATTGCTTTAACGGCCTTGTTTAACTAAATTTAATTAAATTCAGACAGCAATTTCACTGACCAAACTTGGCCTAAATTGTCCTAATTCCCCGGCCAAAGCAAATGAAAATGTTGAATTAAAATTAAAATTCCCGTCGGCCGCAAAGCAAAGACAATCCGAGAAGTGACCACAAAAGAGTACCACCGGGGAGGCCAAACCAGATGTGGCCAGCTGTGAAGCTGGTAAACTGGGTGAAAGTGCGGTTTAACCTCGGGCCGCATAAACATCCGCATATGAGTGGCGGTGCTAACCCCTATCTAACCTTACACCTGCTGCACTTTGGTAAGTGGCCAAGGCGCAGGGAGCAAATTGAATTTGCCACGGGGCGGATGCGGAATGTGGGTGGGCTGGCCAGAAGTCGGGCCACCGGATATCCGCTGGGCGCCCCGGCCGCCTCATGTAATATGCAACAGCCATTCTGCCAGCCCACCGTACTCTTCCGCCGTACTGTTCTTCCGTTCGCCAGTCCTGTGGCCGGATTCAGGTCGCACCGCACACAATTGAATCCTTGGCCATTTCATACGGCTCCGAATTCAAATTCGGCTGAATATTTGCCACCAGGAGTGGCCAACTATGAAGTTAGATTAGATTAAACCCGTTGCGGGGTGTCATGTCTATTAGGAATTTTAAATGCAATTTGGGTTTATATTCCCCAGAACTGCAAAACAATTGTAGTATGAAAATTAAATTAAATTATAATTTCAATTTTTTCTGCCTTTCATTAGTGTCTTTATACTAGTGCTTTGAAAAAGGGAATAAATATAAAGTATTGTGGAATAAACAGATGAAATCCACATTTTTAAGTTCTACAAAATCCATGTACCACCTATATTATATAATTAGATACAAATTGCACCCTAGTTGCTCTTGCACTTTAGACTATACTGTTTGAGATCACCTGCACTTTTCTGTAGAAAAATCCTTTCTGTCCCGTCTTTGTTCTCGACTCTCTATCGATTCTCCTTCAAACTCATGTTGTACATTTGTTTTCTTCTACTTTCTTTTCTTTTATAGCTTCAAGCTAAGCAAAAAAAACGTAGTAAATGAACAAAAGAAAAGCAACAAAAATCAAAAGTCAAAATCAAAACAAGACAAACATAAATGTAAATTGGTATGCAAATAAACTAAACAAGAGTTGCCGATGCAACAGCAACAACTACAGTTCAAACAGATAAAACAACATCTACAACAGCAAGCAACAACAAACAACAATAAACAAGAACAGAGTTACAGCAACAAGAACAACAATAACAACCGCTGCTAGTAGATTATAAACTTAACAAAACGTACAACATTTATGTAATATTTACAATTTTTGTCGAGGCACCCAAGCAAAGTAACATTTTGCAACGTAGACTCTTAGGCGTCGCACACAAAAAATACCCAAGAACACAACAGCAACATCAGCAACATCTGCAACATCAGCAACCAGAGCAATATACAACATCCATCCGTAACCGCAAACATCCAACAATCCACCATCGCTACCACCACGAACCACATGAGCCTGAACAAGATCAAGAAGCGGGACGCGAGCGACTTATGACTGATGCGCTCCAAGGGCAACGTCGGCGTCGGCGTGGGCGTTCCCGTCGGCGTCGCCGTTGGCAGCGGCAGCCGGTACAAGGTGACGGCCCGCTGCGTGCCCGAAGTGAGCATCACGTCGCCGACGACTGCATCCGGCGCCATCCAGCCCAAGCACTTTGCCCTGCTCCGCAGTCGCTCGCAACCGTCGCCGCCGACGTCTAACAGCCTTTTCTCCACGCCAGGCGGGGCCACTCTGGTCGAGGAGGAGGATTTCAGCTTGGCCAGCGGCAGCGGTACAGCGGCCAAGAACGTGCTCCAGCGCCAGCTGGCCACCACCGTTCAGCAGGAGGATCCGGATCTGGAGCATTCGGCGCAGGAGCAGCACAGCAAGTTGCCTGAGCCGGCGGAACCGCCCAACGAGCTCACTCCGCTGGTGGAAGAGCCAGGTTCCGTGGCGCCAACCACTTCTACTCATCGCTACAGTCACAACTCCAAGACCACTCGCTCGTGGCCGGTCATCTACCGCAATCCTCACCACTGCGATTACGAGGCTTTGTACGTGCAACAGCAGCAGCAACAGCAGAGCTTCAAACAGAACTGCTACTCCAATCAGTTCAAGCAGTCCATCGTCTACTCCAGCAGCAATGAGGAGCTGCCCGGTGGAGAGCCGGTAGCCTCCAGTTCCGCCGAGAACCGCCAGACCACGTGCTACTACTTTGCACCCAGCCGGCACAACAGCATTTATGAGCACCCCTCCTCGGTGGTCGGGGGATCCCTGCAGTTCGATAATCCAACCACCACAGCAGCAGCGGCGGCAGCCGTCGAGAGTTTGAGGCGAAGCAACAGCATCCTGTTGCGCCAGAACAGCTGCGCCGAAGGTCATTCAGCGTCGCGGCAGCGGTAGCGGTTCACCCACCTCCCTGGGCTCCCAAATGGAGGGACTGGGCATGGGCATGGGCGGTGGGGGAGCCGGCAGCGCTGCTGCTCCAGCTGCTGCATGGGCCCACCACCGGTGCTCTTCCTGTTCGTCACCCTGCTGATGACCACCAGTGCGACGGCCATGCTGTGCGCCGCCATCATGACGACCACTGGGAGCATGTCACGTGGGACCGCAACAGCCTCGATCGCTACACGAATCGGTCGGGATTGCACCTGGAGTGGCTGCTCGACGACCAGGTGGCCATGCTCAAGCCGGACAAGAGGGGTAAAGCAAAAAACATCGATTTATACATTGAAGAAGAAGACTACTGTTTCACTTTTCCTCCCGCAGCCGATCATCGCTTCCGGCGCGACTCCGTGTTCCTGGTACCCATGCACGGCGGCATCTGGACGCTGTGCATCGATCTGCCAATTCAGCAGCTGCAGGAACTGCGGCGCAATCCCAAGTTCCCTCGCGGTGCTCCGCCATGCGTCAACTACCTGGCCGGCTCCATGGAGAATGCCCGCGGTGAGGAGCAGCGCAACGACTGGCAGCACAGTGAGTCAGGTCAGGTCACTCTGCAGCCGCATCTGAGTACGTATCCTGGGGCAGTCCGAATGTGAATCCCACTCCAGATCCACCACCGATATAACTTTCTTGGGGAAATATCCCGTATTTATTGTTTACACTTTTTGCCTTCCTTCTTCGATTTTTTTGTTTAATACAAAACATTATTTTATGTTCGCACTTAGCACTAATTGTGATTGTAAACTTACAGACTTACAGAGAATTTTGGTAGAAAACAGCAAACAAATAGCATAAATAGGATCGAGGAATAGGACAGTTGAATGGTGTTGAATGCATGTGAGTGGGTTTAAGTAGCTGATGTGTGTGGTGTGTGTTGTGGGCATGGTTGTGAATGGGTGTGCCACTGGGCAACTGGAATGTCCCCCTAGACAGCGGCCCGCTTGGCCGGCGAGCATAGGGCCTCGGCCTCCGAGCTGGGCTCCTCGGGCTTCTTGCGCTTGATCAAGTGTGTGATGTCAGTGGGCTTGGCGGAACTGCTGCTGATGGCCGACGAAGAGGCCGAGGCCGATGCTACTTTGGAGGACGACGAGGAGGAGCTGGCGCACCATTGGCTGACGACGAAGACGAGGAGGAGGCTGCAGCTGCATCGCCACTGCTCATTGGCTTGATATAGCTATCCAGGGCAGCTCGCACCTCAGCAATGGTCTGAAAATAAACAGAATTAGTATCAATGCTCCGAAAATAAACAAACTTAGTTACCTGTGCCTGCATCTCTTCAATTCCTGAATCTTGGCCAAAATCTCCTGCTTGGTCTCCTCCAGATCCAGCATATTGTTCCTGTCGCGCTCGTTAGGCTCGTCTTGCCCTTGATCTCTGCGATTTCCTCCTCGATTAATGTGCTTGATTGTCGAAGGGCTGTGGCCCCCTCCTTGTTTAGTTGCTGCATCAGATAGGTCAGCCCGATCTTGTAGTGCAACTCGGCCAAAGCCCGTCGGTTCTTTGTGGGCAAATCGGCATGGATTTTCAAGGCTTTCTCTGTAATATAAGTATATTAGTAATGCTATCGATTACCAAATTGATTTAGGCGACTCACCATAATCCTCGCGTGCTGTCTCGAGTATGCCGTTTTCAAACTCAATGTTGGCCAGCTCTGTCTGAACCTCGGCTAAGTATGGGAGTCCACTGAGACCCTGGCGCGTGAAGATCTGAGCAGCCGCCTCCAGGATCTCCCAGGCCAACTGCAGACTTCCGCTAACTCCCTCCTCTCTTCTGGCTCCTCCTCACCCGTGGCTCCTGCTCCGTTTGAGCAACTAGCTGTGACTTCACCATTCGATGTGCTCGGTCGCTCGTCATCGTTGACAGCAGTTGCTCCACCTCCATTGCTGCTGCTAACCTCATCCACGCCAGTGGGAGCCTTCTTGGACTTATTTTCATCGGCCTGAGCCTGCTCGGCTTCCCCGGTAGAGTCGGCCTCATCGGATCCCTCCTTAATGGTCTCCAGCTCTTGCCGTTTGTGCTGCTCGCTCCATTGGCGTCCTCCTTGCTCTCTTTTTTCTCCTCCTTCTTGTCCTCCTGCTTAACCTCCCATCCTCTGGACTTTCTTCTTCATCGTCGTCCATGTCTTCGTCATCATCATCGGCAGCCTCATCAGGCACGTCGATCACTTTGTTCTCATCCAGGGCCATGGCAATCAGAGCCTTTGCATAGCTGAAATTGATGAAACGGATAGGGCAATATAAGTTCGGGGGTTTCATATAAAAACATAGAATTATAAAAAAAGGGACTCGTCATACTCACAGCAACAAGGGCTGTCCCAGCTCATCGGCCAGCTCTCCGTAGACTTCCTCGTACAGCTGACACACCTGGCTCAGTCGTCGGCCGCCTCATCGTAGCTCTTCACCAGGAAGTTTCGCGATCCCTGGCTGAACAACTCCTTGCCTTTCAGTATTTTCTCAGCACGTTCTGTTCGCTCTTTCCGGTTCCCTCGGTGGAACCGCGGAACGGGGTCCGGCGTTGTATCAGCAGCCACGGGCTCCACGGCCACTGTCTTGCTGGTGATGACATATCGGCGCGGCTGTTGTGACGATTGCTTCGGCTTCAGCAGACATTTTAAGCGGTTATAGAAATAGCTATGGAAGAGGGAAAAGTGAACAACGAAGAGTTAGTTAAAATTTATACAATCAAACCAGTTTTAGATCTTGTCTAGCACATTTTTCGATTAAGTAGTGGTTACAAGCTTTCTTTTATTTGGTCTTCACTCTCCTAATTATTCTAATTAATATACCTTACTATCATCCCCTCATTCCACACCCCAATCTCCCTCGTAGGTTGAGCCCTAGACGTCACTTTTGATGTATGTAGAAGACCACGAATATTCATAATTTTTTTAAAAATTCTTGTAAATTCTATTTTTACGCACCAGCACAAGCTTTAAGCATCCCCCGGCGCCACCTGACTCACCTCGATTCATTTCACTTGGCTTAAAATTTTAGCTCCAAGCTGTCGCACATTTCACAAGTCATTACCGCAAATCCCATTTGCAGCAGCTCAAAGATGTGGGTGCCCCCAGTCCCCGGAGCATATCAGATAAAAAGAACAATAGCAGAAGCCAGGCGCCAACAAATCCCCAGTACAGGGACACGAAGAGTCCTTGTACCGACTATATAAAGTAATTACCACAGCAGCTAACCGAGCTTGCCTCCGGTTTTCTATATTGTCAATACTGGTCGGTTGGTCTCCTGCTCCCCGAAGATGAAACATGTCCGTGTCGAGAGTGGCTTGCTCATGGCAGTAAACCCAGGCGGGGGGATCGGGTTTCGATGGGGGCTTTTCAATATGGGTCATGCCCCATCCTCTCCTGCCTGCGTTCTAAAAATCGCAATTGCCACTTTGGCATTTTGCTGTACTTTTTATGGTGTTCCTGTGGAACCAAACCCATGCACCCACACATGCGATTTAATTGCTGTGGTTCCATTGGGTAATTGGTTTTACAGTTGCCCAGATTGTGAGCGGAAATTGGAGAACTGAGCTGGGCCACAATGAATTTACGGGCGGCCATAGAAAATGCGATTAAGTTTGTACCTGCATAGGCTAAGCCACAGAGGAAAAGCCACTTTAAGCTGGCTGTAAGGATGCATTTGTAGGTCTTGTACCAAATTCGATGAAAATTTTTAGATACGATTTTCCATTTTCACTGATCATTTAGCAAACGCTTTCGCTTGCCATCCTCTCCTCATCCTACACAACCCTGTAAAATAGTCCTTTGTCATAAGCCTTTTGGATAATCCTTTATCTTAAAATGTCTTTTGGTGGAATGATAATCTGTGCTTTTCCTTAGGAATGCAAAATCTCTCCATATCCTGCTCATTGGTCTGCCTTATTATCCTGGGCAGTGCTGCTCTGGTGGGAGCTTTTGGCGTCTGCCAGCGCCAAATCAGCGCCATTCTCATCACAGGGGTTATGTATTTACTGGCGGTGAGTTAAGATATTGAATACCCTCTTTAAAACATCCTTCTAACCAAGACTTGTATCTTCACAGCACTCTTTGCCCTCTTCACTCTGATGATCATCCACTTCAAGCGACAGCAGGGACGCCCTATGCTGGACAGCGACTACGATGGCACCGTGGACGGGATAGTGGCGCGACCAGGAGGCGTAGCCATCATGGCCAAGCCGCTTCTGGGGGCACGCATCTTCCTCACCTCGTGGAGCCTGGACTTGGGCTGGGGCGGGGTGGTGCTGTGTGCCATTACCTCGGTGCTGTGGATCCTGCTGTCCAAGATCATGCGCTATAACCCCTTCTCGGCGCTCATGATTTAGCTAAACGCCTTGCCGCTCGGCGTCTACGGAGCCAGCTACGGAAGTCTGGGCAGCTGTGAAAGCTACGGCAGCTACGGGAGCACCCACACCCACAGCGGCACCAGTAGTGGCGGCAGCTCCAGTTTCCTCCTGGCAGCGGTCTCGTCGACGCGGCAAGCGGAGCACCGGGGCAAGGGCAAATACATCCTGTAGGCAACGCCCTGCCCCGACCTCACTTTCTAACTAACCGGATTTTCGACCTTACTCAACTTATTTGGGATAGACTTCCGAGGGCATTAAACATGTAACATTTGTAAAAGGTTTTTGATTTTGGAGGCTGATGTCGTCTTTTTAAAGATTTTTGCTATACTTATGCTTGAAATACTAAGTTATTTAGTTAAAGGCCCTTGGAAGTAAATCCTCTTATTCCTATGTGAACCACTTTTTAGTTAACTATGTTGGAAATGTACCAAACTAAAAAACTCAATTGCCTTGTTCTTTATATATACACACACAACTTATACAACTTAATCTTATACTTATTCTTATTGTACGGTGAACTTATCTTAACTTAACTTAACACAATTGTAAATTCAATTTACACCATCTCTTTACAAGTAGACCTTTTTGTATACATTCGATTTGACTCTAATTCTACACGACTCTAAACACCCCACTAATCCTAGCTAAAATGTGAGACATTTATAACACGAAACGAGCGAAATGGGAATCTTAATTCCCCCGGTGGCTTTGGCTTTAAAGTGCTTTCTAGTAACAGTTCGCTTGCATAGCGTTAATCCAGCCCAAAAAATAGTTCATTGGTTGAGACAGTTGCTTGAAATTAGACAAACTAACTGGAGAAATGGACGGATATTCAAAAACCAAATTGCTTGGAGAGGATAAAATCATGAGATGCAAAAGCTGTAGCTTTGTTTTCCCAAAACTTTGTCCTCCATCCAGTTGGTTTAGTAGAATTTTAGGGCTTGTCATGACATCAGCATAATGAATTGTAGAACTTACAAGTACTTCTAGAGCTGTATGTAATGAGATCATTTAGTGCTTTAGAACAAATGGTTTACAAAACGAATTGTACTTGTATAGAAGCCACCACAAACCAAACAAAATGCTAAAGTATAAAAATGTATTTTTATGCAAACGCTTTGCCTTAAAAACAAACAAAACAAGAACAACTTATTTAAATACAAGAAGATAATTTCTTTTAAAAAGTTTACAAAAAATGTGTTTTTAATTTCTGCGGTATGTATTTAGTCTAAAATGGTTATCATTTTAATAATACAATTTTTCCAGGTGATACCTTCTTTAAATTGAAACGTCTTTTGTGTAAAACCAATATGTTCTATAAATACCGATGGACATACATTTTGAAATTCCATTTAGCATTCAATTCTGTAAAAATTGTATTGCGAATTTCTGTCATACGGAAAGGTTCATTAACATTTGCAGAGCTGCTGTGGAAACAAATTAAGCAAACATGCAAATGAACTCGCAAAAAAATTGGCGTGAAAACGCGACACTTTCGCGAGCTTTTGCTTGAAAAAAAACAGAGACATCGCGAAAGGGAGAACGAGGATCATTAGCGAAGATAAGAAAACACAGCTGGTAAAAGGAAAATGCAGAGGAAAAACACCAAGTGTGTGTTTTGTTTTCGCGCGCTCAAAACAATTACAAAATTCACACATTGCTTCGGCGACCCAGCAACAAATTGCGATTACAAAACAACGTAAAAAGGTTCATTCACCTGTGTGTGCGTTGTGTCTGTTTTGCGCTTTTACGTGTTTATGCGTGACAGAAGTCGCGAAAAATCTGTAATGGTTTTTTTGAGATATTCTTAGAATATTTCTGAGAGAAGTATAATAAGATACATAATCCAATTGAAAACAAAATGTTTATTAATATATCCATGGTTTCATTCTGGATTCAAAAATATTAGATAGAACTGTTGTTGCTAGAATTGCTTCCCTACAGTTCCTTGTTGACCTATTATTTTTAAAGTAATACCTTTAAAATCTACATTAAAAAGTATGTAATATCTTTTGTAATTGTTCTTACTTAAGAAAACGCGATCAAAAAGAATGTCGCATAAACGCTTTGCAAAAAATATGTGCGAGTGTGTGTAATAGCCCGCCATTCGCCCGCGCCAACAAACACAAACACACATACACGTACGCCGACACCAACACCGGCATAGCGCAATGAGCCATTTAGTTAGCGCAAATAACCACGGCACGTTTCGCATATTTATAGCGAAACAAAATTGCGACAATTAATTAATGTTTAGCACAAACAACATAGCCAAAACCAACGGCAACACAAATAAACTACGGTTCAAAACGAAATTCGCAATTCGCGTGTCGCTGTTTTGGCTGCGTGAGTGTGCGTGTGTGCCTCCATCGGCATCTAACTGTAAAAGTAGAGTTTAAACTTACTTGATCCTCGATTACGGGTATTGCTTTCGAAGCAATGGCAGTAAAATCAGTTGATTGTCGTTAAAAGTACCAATAAAATCAATGTAAAATCACGCAAATCCAAGTATTCGCCAATAAAAATTACAGATCCCGCGAATTGCTGAAGAAATAGCGACAATGTGACCGCACTGCGGGCGCTTGAATATGCCGTTCGGCACGAAAAATATACTGACACAAATACTAAACTACACGTTTGGCCCTGCTAACTCGACTGCACACCAATGCCAGAAATGTCTGTTTACACTGTAAATGTTTACACAGAAAATATTTATGAAAAATTTAAAATTATATCATTTTTAAAAAGTAATAACGATTGACTTATAGTTGCATAGCTTCTATAAAGTATTTATAAGTTTATAAAACTTAACTTGACAACAAATGATAACTTAATACAGCCATTTATTGGTTTCTTCGCGGCTTGTCACTACATGGACTGCCCTTCACAGTGATAGGTTAGTGATTAGCGGCAGCTAGTGTGAACGCTTGCATCAACATTTACGTTTCGATAGTCTCGATAGTGTCTCGCACCCCAAATATCCATACTATCCAGCTCTATCTCTTTGGGCCATTCTCACATCAAATTTGTTCACACTTACGTTGACTTACGTTTTGCCGACACTTACGTTTTTCTGTAATAATCATCCGCCACCGAGCATTCACCGTTCATTCATTCGTATTTTGAATTTCGCTTCGAACGGTTGTTCTCACGTTGAATTTCAAATCGGAACGTTCGGTCCGCGGAACGTGTTCGGTGCAAAAAAACGTTAGCAAGACATTATTTGTTTTCGTAGTGACTTTAATTGGCAGCCAATCAGACTTTAAGTGCAATACACAAACTGGTGATTAAAGTTAGTATTCAGGGCGAATTCCATACAGAAGGGCAAAGTTCTGGGCGGTGCAACCACCCCCTCGGAATTGTTAAATATTTATACACACCACCAACGGAACGCACGCACTTACACAGTTTACAAGGCGAGTGGCGCCAACATATGCAAAGCAGCGATAAGAAAACAACCCAGAAAAGGAAAGCAGGAAAATTATTGTAAGTGAAATGCATTGTGTCATATAAATAATTTGAAGTTCTATTGATTTTTTTTTGGATTTTGGGGGCTGTCACCCGAAAGTTTTTGCCGCCTTTTGTTTTGTGCTTTTACTTCCGTGTGTGTGTGTGTGCTCTTGGCTCTCCTTGATTTTTCCATTCAACTGGGTTTACGTCTTTATTTTCCTGTTTTCTTCCCCCCATCAAATTGTGGGCGGGGTGGGTGTTTGTACCGCTGTTGATTCACCTGTCGTGTGTTTTATTTTCGTTTTCAACTTCACGGGCAGCTGCGAAATCTCAGCTGCTCCAACCAACAACAGCAAAACAAACAAAAGCCAGCTTTCGTAGTGCAATAACCGGTTTTCAAGCTTTATCGTATTTCGAAACTGTGCTAATAACTGGTGTTGTTTTTCGTTTGGCACATTTTATCGCTCCGTTAGCCATATAATCATTAGTAACTAAATAATATTAATGACTATGAAAAGTGCGATAATTTTTAAAATAGGGAACACTTGCTAATTTATTGGACTTTTGTGCTCTTGCCAGGAAGTTAGTTTTGACGCAGTCGAAAAGTATGGCAAAAAGTTTTCCACTTATAATGTCAGTCATTCATTTTTACCGTTTCGCCTGCCAACTTCAGTTGCATATGATGGAAGCTACCGCATTCTCTTTCGCACTCACTCCTACTCGCACACCGAGAGAAAAGAAAAAGTAACCAAAAAATAAATTTGTAAGTTCTCAGATTATAAAAATTTGATTGTACTATTCTGACATATTTATTTAAAAATTAACTTTTATCAATAGAACCTCTTTAATTCTGGATTTTAAAATTAAATGTTTTCCACTGTAGCTAGCATATTTTTACTTTGAGCCTTTTGGACATGCAGCAGGCAATTTCTATGGTCCTGAAACAAGCCGAAAGCACTCGCTCCAAGGATATCAGGCTCGTGAGGCCACAAAATCGATTCTCCACGAAGCCCAATACCTTGGAGAAAACCCGACACGTGATGGCGCCTGGCTGGGAATTACTGAAAAAAGAGAAGAAAGGGGCATGGAATAGGAACAGGTTGGGTGGGATTGGATTGGATTGGGCATGCCAATGGGAACTTTCAACTCGTTCTGCCCTTTTACAACTTCTTGCGCAAACTGCGGCAAAATTCAAACGGGGGAATAACATGCCGGATATAAGCTGTAACCAAAGGGGACAACTTGGTCAGATATTTGGGGGAACTAAGTTTAGAATCCAGGGTCTAAATGCATGCGGTGAACAACTAGATAACGTATCTCAGATTATCTGAGCTTTGCTCTCATTTGGGGTGGACGGGGATTACCGAACACACTTCCACAGCGATTGCAACAGTATGCTTACCATTTTTCAGTAGACCAGCCCCATTAGTAAACAAATTGGTTTGTAAGCTATCTTATCTAAATTTTCCATCTGTGATTCTTAAGACTCGAAATGGAAAATGGCTAAGAAGCCGGAAATTAAAGCAAAATTACATTTATTTTGAGGGAAACATTTATGTAACTTGTAGAATATAAAACCAAAAATACTGCAAATATATTTTTGGAAATGCGTGCTTTTTTTGTCATTTTTCAAGATCAGGATAGAACTTAACTGAACAACTACCCAGCGAGGCAACATCGATAATCGTGACTCATACATATGGGCTGGGGCTTCCTAAACAATGTGTATTTTACTCGAATACCATTTTCTGAATCGTATATTGTAGTACATTTTTAGCTCGATAGCTCTCTTTGGACTTCCTTAAAAAAGAAACACTTATCATCATTATTTACTTCCCCAGCGCAAAACACAACTTCATAGTATCACACATCATTGTCAAATTATTACAGGAAAACTTTTAAAATATTCTTAGATCAATACCCAAACTTTGATTCTGCTTTAAATTATTTGAAAAACTTGGCACTTAAACATACACACAAAAAATCTTTTCCACTGGCGCCCGACGAAATCCCCAGGAATTCAATCACTTTCGCTGGGCAACCAGAGAATTTTCACAACTCTTCTTGTAAGTAGTGGGGAATTTGGTTATTTTGTGGCGCTGCTGGTGGTGCAGGGATACACCCTGAAACTAACTTTGAACTATGCATGCACATTGGGAAAATATTTTGTTTCTCCATTTTATATTTTCTGCCGGCTTCTTTTTATTTCGAGCTGCGAGGAGCAGGCACACAGACTCCTGGCTGCCGTCTGCCGTCATTTTTCCCAGGGGATGGGGTCGCATGAAGTTGTTCTGTCTGGACTCCATCCACAACTGGCGGGTTTCCCAGCGCCTCCATCTCCTTGGGAACGTACGCCATCCTTTGTTGTCTCGGTTTCTCGGTGGAAAAGGAGGAGATGGCGAATGGCGCTGCCGATGGCTCTTTTATGACGCATTTGGTCCGGGCTAGTTGAAGTTTGTTTGCTCGGCCGGGCCTGAAAGAGTTCATTCTTCTATAATGCATTTTCCAGCTACTGAAGAAGTTGTCTTGGTATAGAATTTCCTTGTTTGTTTAAAGCCAACCAGGGACAGTAAGTGGCTGGTCATGCCATCCCCGAAAATCCCACAAAAATCCAAGCTCAATCGAGAAAGTTTCCGGCTCATTAAAACCAATTTGCCTGGAACATTTATAGAACTTTCGCTTTGATGAAGCATCCATGGGTAGACAGCACATAAAAATAAATAAATTCGCAATTCAATTAATCAGCAAATCAACAGCAGCAAAAGTTCATTGAATTGCAGCTGTATCAGGTTTGGATTTCGGTAAATTGATTGGAATTAGAAGGGTATATGTGGGTTTAGGTTTCTTCAAGCACGCCGTTTCAAAGATTAGTCAGCGAGTGATATGACTAAGCGAACACAAGAGGAATAAATTCAAATTAAACTAGAAGTCGGAGAGGTACGGGTGGGGTGTTGAGGTCTGACAGCCAGTCGGTCATTTAACCCGCTGCAAGGTCTCATACAGTAAAAGCTCCATCGGATAGTAATCAAACAAAAAATCTCTAAAAGAGCTCTACTGATACCATACTTTTAGTAAAGTTGGATAAAACCTATCCTAAACTGATTATAAACTTTAAAATGTAACAGTTCATGGCAATATTTCTTAACGTTAATTAATATATTTATATATCCTTCGAAGGAATATTAATGTTAATCTATTAGTATAATCTTTAAATAAAGATAATCAAATGTTAAAGTCTAAACGAGAAAAAATGCGTAATGGATGATAGAAAAAACAAAAAATGATATGTTGGTGGGATACAATAATTTTGTACCTAAGTGGTGATATCATAGTTGAGCCTAAAAACTTGAAAATAAAATACTCTGTTATTAGAGACAATAAATCCACTTTTAAGACCTTCCACTGTACAGTGACAACCTAGGCACCTGACAAACCCACCGAACGGAGCACTGAGAAGTCCGTCACTGGACAGCCATTTGACACCAAAGACTTCAATAATATCTGGAGGTAGCTTGAGGTGGGGTATATATTTCATGGGTGGACAGTGGATATGGGATGTGGGCGGGGTTTCAGGGGCGGACAAAGTGGCTCGCTGGCTGCTCAATTGCTGCGGGGCAGTTGAGAAGTTGGTGTTTCTTTGTTTGCCACAGTTCTTTGGCCGGGCCTTGACTTCGTTTGAATTGTCTTTGTTGCCATCAACATTTAATTTAATATGTGAGTTGAGTGCCCGGTTCCTGCCCAAAAAACCCGCCTCCCTTCATCCTACATCAACTGGTTTACTGTCTTTCTAGATTTGCATAGAGTGTCAGCCCCAGGAGTTTGGACTTGACTTATTTGTATGCCTGACAACAAGTCCTAACCGAATCGGCGAGCCCAGACCAATCCCAAGCCAGACAGTCTTAGTTGAGGCTTCCCATTTAATTTATTCATGCAGGATTAGTCGTATATAAGTCCTACATAAATCGACGACAGCTGTCGCTACCTGGCTAGCAAGTAAAGACTTCAATTCAATTTATGCAAATTATTTTGTGGGCTTGCCAAATGTGTGTGTGACATAGTTGGTGGATCAGACGGTATTATTTTTGCCGCCAGATGTTTGCAAAATCAAAAGAAATCAACCAATTAGTCGAATGGAACAGGAAAAGCTTTTCTATAATTATATGGTCTTAAAAAACAAAACTAAAGGGTTCTAAATTTGTAACGTAAGGGGTAGGTATACTTCTCCAGCAAGCCCAAAAAGTAATTTTCCTTAAAACTTAATACCATACTTAACCCAAAACAATGGACCTGATGGGCACTCCTTTGATATCGGGTTTCGAGGCCTAAATTCTCGCCTTGCTCCACTTTTGGTTTATTGTATTCGGCTTGTGGCAAGTTCTTCAAGTATATGTTTTTTCGTGGCTGAAAACAGGGCCAAGTGGCGCGACCCCAAAAGCGGAAAAACAAGGGAAAACATGCAAGCGGAAATGCAGTGGGGAAAACTACTGGGTGGGTTTGGGCGGTCTTAAGTGAATTCCCATTTGGGTCCTGGCATTGCTGTAAAGTGCACATAAAACAAAAGGATGTTTCTCAACTTTTGACACACATCCAACCCCCAAAGGGATCTTAACTTTCCATTTCATCGCGCTCCGTCAATTGAATAGAACTGAAAGTTGCAACGCAATACTAGATCCATTGCCAGATGGGGTGATTTTGAACTGGATCTGAGGAAAGACCCCATTAATGCAATTGTTGCAACAGGAAATGAGGCGTACCACGCACAGCCACAATGCTGAGCACGCCAATTAGGTGGCAATTTATAAGAAATGTTTCGGGAACCGGGAAGAGGCCCCTCACCTCTCTCTTTGTTTCCCCACCATGTCACGTCATATCGAGGTGAAGGAACTCCTTTGTGATTGCTTTCGTGCGGTTTACATTATGTAAAAAATGTTAATTGCCAGATTTTAATGAAACCCCAGGCTCTTTTGGAGCCATTTGACTCTCCATAGGGTTTTTTCCGAGCCTGGGGGCGGGTCTAATGCATTATTTATGCAGCTGACAGCTTGTCCAATGAGTCAACACCTGTTTAAATACTGGGGGAAGGTTTTAAGGCAAAAGCTTTTCAGGTTATTGCATAGAATAAAATTCGGGCTTGGGGAATATGTCCATCTACTACACATGCATTTAAATTGCAGCGACACATACATATAGCTTAATGCATTTGCTACTTAATATTTTATTTTTATAACGACTGATAAGCCTGGTCTGGAAGGAAAAAGATTGCAAATGAGGAAATGAAAATTAAGCCTGTATTTCTTTTCCAAGATTGCCTTGACTGCGGTTGGAACGCCACTTGACTCGGGTCTGTGGTATATGGAACCGGTTTTATTTATAGATTTATAATATTATAAATATTATTTATTTATAAATATTAGGGTGCATTCTTAGAAAGATGAACCTAGCATTATAACCTCAAGCTAAACAATTTTTTAGACAGTGTATTGAAAACTCAAATCAAAGAGTATATCTTTTTGTGGCGTTACCAAGACCATAAATAGCCAACGAAACACGAGAATTTCGCGGCTAAGATAAGATTCATGGGTTTCCTGAAATGTTTGAAATATTTGGCAGTCCATAGGCAAACAAACAGCTCTATTTTATCACCAGCTTAACGGCCTTCAACTTTCTTTCGACGAAAACACGCAATGAATGCTACAAATTTTCACTTTCGTGTCTCCGCTTTTATAGCTTCTTGTTTGTTGTCTGGCCCAAACAGAAACACACAAAAACGACTTTGAGCAGCTGCACTTGACTTGTTACTTAGACTTGGCTTTGGCTTTGGCCCACCAACTGCACCTTGAGATTCCGCAGCATGCTATATAGCACATAATCTGCAGACAACTTGTTGTCACTTCGTCGTCGTCGCTTTCAAAATGCTTCAAGTGCATTCAAAGTCAAAAGAGTCACGGTGGTGTTTGCATTTGGTTAGAAGAGCTCAGTCGCCCAAAGAAGTCGGTTTACCCAGGGCTTTAGTACGGCTCCCTCTTAAATCCACACACATTTTAATATGCACAAAGCCGGAGGAACACAAAAGAATCTCATCGGGGAGCAGAGAAACCTCCACATCTAATTAACCCACTGTGTAAACAGAAATTCCGCACATCTGATTAACTTGGAATAAATAGATGATTTCGGAGTCGGCAGGAAATGCATACATTCTGAAGTCGCGGCCAATGAATCTTTCATGCGAAAATTCTCTCAGACATTTTATTTTGACGGGTGGCAGCTAATAACGCAGGCCGACCCAACTATTATAGTTGGAGGAAGCCCGAATGGTTTATTTTGGTTCTCGAACATAAACAAAGTACGAACGACTCACGAGATCTGTGCCACATCCGATAATATTTACTCAGTTGATTTTATACACTATACGACGCCCCGCCCAGATCTTGCACAATGATCTCACAATACCTCGTTACGATTTCCACATTTCAACGCTTGATTAGTTTCGGGTGTTGAAAATTTGGATGGTCCCGAAATCCATCGAAAAGTGTCGATTGATTGCAGCACACGCCCAGGAATTGTGTGCTTGTTTTGGGGGAGTGTCTTTAATGTCACGAATCAGTTGATAATTGTTAATATATATAAAATGCAACTAAAGATTAATACACATGTGATATACGATTTTGATTGAATAATACCCATGTATATATAAAAAGTTACGGAACAGAACATATTTTATAATTTTTTTCGTTGTTCCAAAACCAATTTTCAAATTTCAATGAAACAGTTTATAGATTACATGGTTTTAAAGAACATTCCTGAAGAGTTTATTTATAGAGTTTATTTCTGATAAACCTATTAATTTTCCCGGCACGTGCTCTCAGGTGGACAAAAGCCAGATCTTAAATATTATGTGAGCACCCACAATGGCTTCTCATCAGCGGAACAAGCTCAGCGAATTGAGGAGACAGTAAGTCACAGTCAGATGCCCTTTGTGTGTCAAGTGATGATGATCTTGATGGTGGCTCTGATTGACGTGGATGGCACAAGGAAATTGGAGCAGTGGCAGATGAGAACTACAAAACGCTTGCGGCTAAGCTTCAATGTTGCCTCTTGTGGTGCAGTTTAATCTCTTTGGCTGCACATTTAATCGCAAATTTCACATTGTTGCGGCCAAATTGAATTGTTTTGATGTGGAGGTGGGCTTTTCAATCATCCGGATTGATTGCCCTGGACCGACATCGAGTGCACTCAGCTGGCTGCGCCTCAATGCGCCCACAGAAAGTTATACCTATGTAGATACAATATAACCACATCTGCACTCTATACATGCCCACACACTCCACCCCATTCGTCCATCGAACGACTTTGTCTCGCGGCTCTGACTTTTCAATTCATTTGATTTGTATCTTGGAAAAGTGGATATGGTAATGGGAAATCTCCCCTCCTTCACTTGTCGGTTATTTGGGTTAATTTGATTTTAATGCTTTGCCACAAGGAATGCGGGTGTGGTGGCAATCAGATCAGTGCCCAGCAATTGCCAAGAAATCGCGCATCTTGCGGCCATCAGATTTCAATTGAATTACATTACTCGCTGATTGATTCGTGAGTAAAGTCCAAGTTCAGCTAAACTCGATCAAGAGACCAATTGGTTCAAGGTTCAAGTGTTTTTTGCGAGCCATTAACTGCCTTGTATGAGAAGCGCATAGAAAGGCGCTCCATCCCACACCGTTAATCGACATAGTTTTCAATGGTCCACTCATTTGTCACTTGAAGTGCTCATGCCATAAATTAAAGTGCTTTATTGTGTGTTTTATTTTATTTGTGTACATATACTTAAAGCATTTGTGAAAATTTCAGCAGCAACGCGCCTTCTTCAATAATTGCCCCCATCAACGAAACTACTTTCAGTACCGACTTTTGTTGTTTTTTATCATTTATATAAAACGTTTTGTGTACAGCGTCTAGAGAAAAGCATCTTCGCAGTAATTGCTGTTGAGGATTAGCATTTATTGTGTGTTTGCAATCCATTGTAATCTCGCCGAGAAAAAAGCTTGATGTGGTTATGCATTGTTTACGAGGATGGATCAGGTAGTTGAATGCTCTAATATGGCAATTAAAAGCCGTCTGCTATTGCGGCGGAGAGTTAGATAATTTCATAGCAGGCCTTGGAAGTGTTTCTTGCCAGCATAATTCGCTTTTTTCACCCTTATATGATATCATCTTTCCGTTGAAACAGAACTTGAAGCTGTCAGAACTCGAAAATTCAACATCTGCTGGAGTTGCAGGTCGCCCCAGGCAGTTGATTTGTCCATTCATTAATCATAAGCACATCAGTGATGCCATTCTCTCGTTTAAACTCCAGGACTAATCAAAGTTTAGCTCTGGAACTGGTTTTATATATGGTGATACCCCATCTTTATAAAAATATCAGATGCCAGAAATGCTGTAGTAATATGAAGTTGTTTTGCTTGACATATGTTACTTACCTGAATGAGAAATAATAATATAGTGCGTTTATGCTTGAAAACGAGGTCAAGAAAAAAGGCACATTATATTTCCGATCAATTTTACCTGGTACTCTATAAAACTCACCTTATAACTGCAAAAACTATGGAAAAGTATTCTAAATTCTTATGGCAAAGGGTCAAATTGGCATCACTGTTTCAACTCACATGCGGGAGCCCTGCTAAAAGCCATGTCATCCGAAACCCGAAGGAAGGATGGGATTTCTGTGTCCGCATCAGTGTCTCGTGCATTTGCAATGAGTTGACTGAAAGCCCATTCAGGGTTGTATTCCTCCCCTGACATCCTGCTCCTGCTTCTGATGCGGGAAGGGACTTTTGTGTGGCCAGGGAAAGGATGCAGACCCTGCGGCAACTAAAAAGCACATCCCGTCATTAGGAGCAGGCGGTTAATAGAGGGGGAATAATGTCAGTTATGCGGCTGCCACTGCATTTTGCTCGTAATTCTTTTCGTGTTTGCTCTGGCCCATTTAATTGCATAATTTATTGATAATTAAATGAAGCTTCTAATTAAACTCTCTTTGCAGGGCAGGCGACTGGATTCGTTTGGAGTGACTCAACTCCCACAACAATTGCCGCTGATGAGGTGAACGAACTGCTGGTCAGCTGCGCAGCATCCATTTTTAGCTCCTCCCTCCATCTCTGGCAATTAAGTCAACCCTAATTGGAGGAGGGAGCTTCTCGGCTCAAGATGCCGTCGCTGCGCCAGAAGGTCACCACTTATTTCCGCCAGTTGAGCTTCATAGCGGAGCCTCGCGAGGGTCGCCGGCGGGCCAGCGAGCACGAGGATGACGATTGCAGCTTCATTACCAAATACCTGGAAGGGTGAGTAAATATTAGCCTAAAAGTGGAGGATAGTTGTTTACCCATCTTCCCTCAACCCACAGTCGCATGCAACGACAGTTTGTGGAGGGTCCGGAGATCTACAATGGCCAGAATCCCACAGACATGCCCGTTCTCAAGTTGAACCCCTACGAAGCCGGAACCTGCTCCATCACAGCCGCCTGCACAGGACCGGATGAGGGACTCACTGGGATTAAGCGCTCCAAACTGCACCTGAGCACCAGCTTTGCGGACGACATCGACTTCATAGATACGCAGCAGGAGAACGATGATTGCTATGGGGTCAGGAAGAGTTCTGCGCCGGTTCAGCCGGCAACACAGAACTCCACACGACTGACCAGCAAATTCGGACGCCCGCCGACTACATCCCGGAGACAAAGTAGCACGGAGCAGCCATCCGGATCTGCTCCTGTTTCGGGAATGCGTTCCCGCAAGAATTCCAAGAGCAGCATCGCCAATCTGGCAGCGGCATCTACGGGTGGCGATGTTGGTAAGGTCAACAACAACGATCAGAACAACAAGAACCTGTTAAACGCAAAGACTGAGGCTTCGACGGAAGGCGATTCCAACTCGGAGCGGGAGCGGCTGCTCCTCGAGGCTGTGAGCAACCAGGCGGGATCTGCTCCAGCTCCTTTGATCGCTGGCGTGGAGAACTGGCGCATGGAGTGCGAGTTTGCATACGGAATCTCGGTGTCCCTCTACGAAACCAACATGCTCACCAAAGAACCCATGGGCAACCCCATCGCCGACTGCTACGGAATGGTGGTGCGCGGGGATTCAGCTGCCATGGCCATGGCAGATGGCGTCAACTGGGGTGATGGCGCCCGCCTGGCCGCCCGCTCAGCTGTCCATGGATGTCTGGACTATCTGGATCGAGCGGTCTTCGGCCAGGCACTGGAATGTCGGGCCACAACCACCCAGGAGGTTTTCGTGAGTCTACTGCGGAGTCTGTGGGAGGGACACGGCTGCATACTGGAGGTTGGAGGAGCCCTGTCCACGCTGACCATTGCCGTGGTGCTGCCGCTGGACGGAGCGCCGGGCAAGTATGTCGTCTGTTCTTGCAACGTGGGTGATTCCCTGGGCTACGTGTACTCCAAGAAGCACGGAGTTCGGGAACTCACGCAGGCCTCCCACGACATCAGCTCCATGCGGGACATGCGTGACGCACTGGGGGCCTTGGGACCGGCGGATGGCAACAAGCCGGAGCTGAGCAATCTCACCTTCTCGATGACCTGCATCGAAAGCGGAGACATTGTGTTCCTCACTTCCGATGGAATCAGCGATAATTTCGATCCCGTTGTGGGCAAATTCGCCGAGGCATGGACGCCAGATGTCAAGCTCCAGACGGCGGGTCAGGGAAAACCTGGTAGCCTAGCTCCAAAAAGACAGAACAAGAGTGCATCTGCGATCTATGCCCGCCTACATCCCTTGACGCCACCCACGCGTCCAGCTCGTCAGTCCAAGGCGAGCAGTCCGCCCAGCAATGCGCCCAGTCGTCCGAAGTACATGCGTTCGCAAACTCTCATTGAACCGCGTCAGGGATTGGCATCGCCTCCACCGCCTGCTGTGGCTCTTCAGCGCATTCCGAAGTCCATCTCTGGGCTGCCCTTGGTCACCGGTCCCCAGCGACATGCTCTCACCCTGTACCGCCTGGAGGACCTGCTCAGCTACGGCATCAACGGCACCTTCTCGCCCTGCGTTTCGGCCCGGAGGCTCTGTCACTTGCTCATCGATTTCGTCAGGATGATAACGTCCGCCAGGAGAAAGACCCTGGAACAGAGGGAACTCTTCTACAAACTCTCGACGGGTCCAGATGGCGCCAAGCGGGAAGTGCAGCTGAATCGCATGCAGCATCGGGCTGCCAGAAAGCGGGTTGTGGATAGCAGCGCCTTTGTAGCCCTGCCTGGAAAACTGGACCATGCCACTGTGATGGCCTACACGGTAGGCGGTGGAGAGGATCACAATAATGGAAACGATAACGGCGACGGAGGAGCTCTTTCCCCCGTGCTGCAATCCAAGGAGTTTAAGGAGACGAATTTCTAAAAACGAGGAAACGCTAGACTGCAGACTAAGCTTTTTATACATTTTTCTCACTCACATATGGGTAGTTCTATCTTATATGTACAAACAGTGGTCTTCAGGGTCTCTAATAAATTTTCAGTTTACGTTTTTGTTTTTTATTAAGATAGTTACGCAGAAAGTGCCAATTAATTTGTTTTGTTACTTTAAAGGAAATAGATCGTTAAATACTTAAATCATATTGTTAGATTTCCGCCAAATACACTATTTAGTTCGCCTATCGAAGAACAAACAATAGCCTTAACTACACATTAGTTGTATCTATTTGTTTTCTAATTTAATAATTAGAAACGAATACTATCAGGAAACCCAATATGAAAAAAATACCTTATTTTGATTGATGTAATTAATATAAGACCCTCAAGAAAATCGTTTATATAGTATGTGATCAAGAAGTACCCATACACATATATATATTTACATTAACACTGATATACGTACGTAGTGATAAATCTCACATGTATCTTCAATATTCATAGAGCTTTCGTCTAAGTTTGTTGATTTTTTTTCGGTATTCTCACCTGTCAGCCATAGTTTTTTAGCCATTTATTTGTAAATTGCAAACGACAGAAATGCCTCAAATGTTTTAAACTACCAAAAAGAATAAGAATACACAAATGTACATCGTATTTTTACACTCTCATCCGTAATTCAATGTAAATGCCACTTTTACGCAAGCTGCAACAATGTAAACGTAATACATTTTATACCAGCTGTCCCACACAATTTTAAATTATAAAAGCGTATAAACTTGGTAACGCACAGCTTAATTTGCTAAATGGACTGTACCGAACGGGCCAGAGCAATAAATAATTGAATAATCGCATTGAAAAATTGCGCTTTTACAAACACCATAAACAAGTTGTTTTATTTAAATGAAACCATCTACTAAATATGCATTTTATTATCTGTGTAAAACTATCTCGAGTTTGCGGGTCAAAATATAAGTCTTTAAACGATATAATATACTCGTAATTGCACAGAAATGTAATACAAAATTTCTCAGTTCCTTGTCAAGGTTGAAAAAGCACAAACGCGGGATAGCGGTTCTGTGCAATAAATCCGTAAAAGATTAATGCACATAAGAATATATAATCTCAGCGAATAGAAATAGTTCTTACAAGCTCATTTCTCCTCAGCTGTTGCGCATGCGCAGGAGCAGTTTGGCAATAGCCTGAGCCCGCGTGGGCGAAGCATCCTTTATTTGTTTGTACAGGATTTCTACGCTGCGCAGGGTTTGGGGCTGCAAGGGAGATAAACTCATTGTAAATATAGTATGGACAAATTGTAAAATTCAACATACTAATGTCTTCACATCCAGTTGTGATTGAGCCTTGTTGGCCAGAAGCCATAGATTCACTGCCAATTGAGCTATAGTTTCTTTCTCCAAGTCAGCATATCGCACGATCCTTAGGAAAAGTTCCAGGGCTAGCTCCGCTTGCGATCGTTGCTGCTGGGCCACTCCCAGTGCTTTGAGCTGCAGCAGCATGGCATCGACAACCTGAGCACACAAATTATTTACCTCCTGCAAGAACTTGGGATCATGGCCATACAAATCGTCATTGGACACCACTTTAAAATAGAAAGAAAGTTAATACAATTAAGTACAAAAAGTAAATGTATGAAAAACAAATCGTACCTCCTTCAATATGATAAGGAAACTTTTCCAGGCTCTGCACATAGAGCATGTCGAGGGAATGCAGATAGATGATGCTCGGTGCCGTGCTGTCCGGTTTGAATTCATGTCTGCCAACCACCTCCAGCAGCAGACGCAGGAAATACAGAACTCCCTGTTCCGGGCTATCCGGCACCACGATCAATGTGGCCAACACATTGCACATGTACGAAACCAGAAAGCGCTCCAAACTACGGGGTTTTCCATCGAAGTCCACGGTGGCTGCGGGCAGGTCATTAACCAACTGCAATGCGGCTTCAAAGCAAGCATCGGCTGTAGTGGAAATAAATATTAACTTAAAATGGCAAGATTAATCTGATTTAATACTAGCCTTGCCCCAGGCAGAGATGCTGCAGAGCCAGCTGACCGCAGAGCAAATACAAATTCATTTGCTGCTGGACAGCTCCAATGCTGGGAATGGTAATGAAGCAGTAGGCGATGCAGGCCTTGATGAAACCCGTTGACTTCGAACGATTGCGCGTGGCTAATTTGCAGGCCGCATGAACCAGAGTCACATAGACAGCATCCAGATTGCTAAACGTTCCCCGCGCCTCCACATAGAAACTAAGTTGTTGCTCCAAGTCGCGCCCAAAGTGAACTTTATGAATGAAGACATTGATGAGCTGGGAAATCTGGCGGCGCTCATCCTCCACGGACAGGGCACTTTTGGAATAGGGTTATAATTATTAAAAAAAAATTTTTTTATATTATTAGAATACTCACTTTACAGAATCGTTTAAAATCTTTCCGAGATACATCAAGGCGTTCGTAACGACTGCGTCGCAGGTGTATTCCTCACTATTCTGTTTGTAAAAACTAAGGATGTTCTTGCACACTTCAACTCTAACCGATTCTTTTTGGAAGAGATCCAAGTAGGGCAGAAAATTAGGCTGTATTAGTAGCAGTTCAATGCTGCGATAGTTTTGCATTATCCTGGTTAAAATATTTTGCAATTGCGAGTAGTGTTTTTTATAGGCTTTGCCCAGACACATCCGTGCATTCAGTTCGCCCAGCAGTCGGTTGACCTCATGGATCTGGGAAAAATAATTAAGTATAGTAACATTAATTTAAAAACCTATATCAAACTAACCGTAAAATACTGGGATACAAAGACGGCCCAAGTCTCCACACAGTTGATATACTCATTAGGATCCGTCAGCTTATTAATGGTTTCAAATGCCGCTTTAAGAAAGGATACCCGCTGCTCCTGCAGAGGAGCACAGCTACTAACGCAGCTGCCCAGCGATCGAAGCAACTGGGACTTGGAGATTCCGGGTGTCTCAGAAGCATTGATCAGCTCTATAAATTCCAATGCATTTGTGGCAATGAACTCTGCCTTAAAGGAACTCAGAATGGACATCAGAATAGCTCCACTGTAGTAAAAATGATATATGTTATTACCGCCAGGTTATTTTAGAACATTACTCACTTATTCTTCAGTTGCTTGCACTCATTAAGCATATCCTGCGTGTGAAGTTCGCATTTGTGAACCAGGCAGAGGAGCATGTAGTCAAAAGCTGGGGCATATAGCTGTAGGTAGGAGCTGGCGGTGACGATCTCTGGATGCAGGTTGAAGCGGGCCACAAAGCGAAAGATCTTTACATAAATATATTTATTAAAGATTTATATTTAATATTCCTTGCACTCACCTGAGGATATATTAGGAACAAATCGGTGAAGTTTTCCCTAATGTATGTCTTACTGGGCGTTAGAGTCACGCCCATTCGGACCAAATAGCAGCGGGCATAGCTGGATACTAATGGATCGGCTATACCCCTCAATTGATGAGTCAACCGCTGCAGTATTCGCTCGTACTCCTCGCGGGATGATGACAGGAACTCGTAGCACTTAAATATTGAGAGTTCCAAGTAGAGACGTGGCAGCAATTCCCGTATAGAGGCTATCTTGTAGAACCAGTTCTGGCATGTATCCCGAGCAGCCTCCCGTTCCCGCTCCAACGTGGCCGCCGAAGATGAGGGATCGCCCGAAGCTTTGGCACGCAGTCGATCGTATACCAGCTTCCCGAAAACATCCAGGATGTCCGTTATGAGCACATACTGACTCGGATAGAACTGCAACACAGTGGTGTCCGCCAGCATCTTGGCACACTGTATGGCTATCTTCAGTGCCTTTACCCGCTGATCGTTGTGCCAGGACTGGATGAGCTCCTGCTTGAGCTGCTCGAACCGCTGAATGTACTCCTGCTGCGTGAGATCCATCATGTGGCGCATGCTGCCATCATCGAAGTGATCCAACTGCTCCAGGCGGTACTTCGTCTTGTCGGCCACCACGGTTTGCGCTTTGACTAGGATTGGGATCAGGGATCATAAGTGGAAAGTTAGCCACTAGCCGCAAGACTTACTGCTTTCGCTGCCGCCATCCAAGCTTCCGGATGCCACCAGGAAACTGGTTGAGAGCGATAGTTTCTCATTGGTGGTGAAGCGGTTGAGGATGCCCAGTCGACGGCTGCTCCACTGCAGCGTGTTATCCTCCGGCTCCGCCCTGTCCCGCTCGCGACGCTTCGTCTTGAGGTCCTACGGTTGTGGATACGGAAACGCTTAGTCATGTTTCTTTCGGGAGCGCCCTTCTTACTTACAAATTCGCTGACAATTTGACTGAGCGGATCGTTAAGCTCCTCATCTTGGCGGGCAAACTGCGTCAGCGGATCGGTGCCCTCAAGAGCGCGGCTCAAGGGATTGCTGTCCACAACCTGGTTAAGATTTGTTTGTACTTCAATTTAGAGCACTCAGACATAGGGGCGTTGTATCATTTACGAACCGTCACCGTTTGTTGCTTCAGCGGATGATCCAGTGTGGCCTGGCCAGCCAGGCGGTTCTTTCGCACCTCGTAGCATCGCGGCACGCACACCCTGCAATCAGATGCAATATTTATCAGTTCTTATTTGTTTATTTTCGGGGGAAAATAAATAAATTACCATTCCAAGTTCGCCATAGCGTCGTGGTTGTTGTTGTCGGCATTCCTGACAGCTGTTTGCCATTGGGCACGGGCGTGTGCTGAAAGTTGTGAGGGGAGCGATGGCGGGGAAGAAACTGTACTTATTCGGGGGGTAATTTACCAAAATCTGAAAATGAAAAATAATAAATATTTAATTTATTTTGTTGCATTAAGGCTTACGTGTCATTTCGAATTTATAATTAAGTAAGAAACAATAAACATGCATAAGTATATATAATATTCATAAAACTACTTGTTATAATGATACTTTGTATTTATGCAAATCAAAAATTATATATGTTTATTTATATTTAAGTTAAGCTAATATAAAATAAATTTCTTAAATGTTGGGCTTAATGTAGAAAGTTGAAGGAGATTTTTATTCCTCAATTTATATCCCCCTCAACTCCGCCCCTGTTCATGGGTCAGTTCGGGGCGAATGGCAAGCTATAACAGCGGAACCACCATGTGAATGACAAATGCAGTTGACAAGCGACGCGTTTTATTTTTTGTGTTCACAATTGTCTTAAAAAGCGATTTAATTTTGGATTGCGATTAAAAAAATGTCCAAGTCCGCGCTGAAACACCTAAAGAGCACCTGCCGCGTGTGCGGAAAGTACGCGAGCAACAAGCGATCGCCGAAGATATTCGAGCGGACCAACACAAAGATGATCGACAACATTGAGGCGCTCACAGGCCTTCGGGTAAATTTTCCACTGACCGACTTGTAGGGCTTTTATGGCTATAGATCTACTTTCTGGTGTTTCCCGCAGTTAGAGAACTACGGCTGCCTTCCGGATCAGATCTGCGAGTGCTGCAGCATTGAGCTGGCCGCCGCCATTAAGCTGAGGGAGCGCTGCCTCGCCGCCCAACGGGAGCTGCTCACGGGATTGACGGAGGAGCAGCTCCAGGGTATCTCGCCTTTTTACCGCGCTGCCGTCATGGGCGAAGATATTACCCAGACGGTGAAGAAGTACCAGACACCCGATGATGAGGAGGTCTACGCCACCTATCAGGAAATTGTTCTGGAAGAGCCCAAGGAGGAGATGGACGAGTCCAAGGTGGAGTACGAGAACGCTTACTTCGAGGTGGCCGAGGGCAATGCCGGCGAGGATGATGGGGCCTCATTGATTGAGGAGGCCGAGTACGAGTCTATATTGGATGATACTGAGGAGCAGCAGCACATCGAACTGGACGAAGATACCGAGCTGATTGTGGGCGATGTCAACGATCAGTATGTCTACGATTCCGACGATGAGGTGGCCGTGCTGGACAACGTACTGGATGACGAGTACGAGCACGAGAACATTGTGGTCAAGAAGTGTAATCTACCGCCGAAGCCCAAGGTTCGCTCGGATGATCCGCGTCGTCGTGGCACTGGGGGAGTGTACATCTGCGAGCAGTGCGGCAATCACATCAAGGGCCGCATGGCCTTTGAACTCCACTGTCGTCGTCATCGCGGCGACAAACAGTTTGGCTGCGAGTAAGTGAATCCCTTTCCCTCTTTGGGTACAGTCGGATTAAATGGTTTCCCCACAGGCTTTGCCAGTCGCGCTTCTGTACCACTTCCGAGCTAAAACGCCACATGCGCAAGCACACTGGGGAGCGTCCGTTTGCCTGCCAATACTGCGGACGATGCTTCACCGACTACACCACGCGGGTGAAGCACGAGCGCACCCACACCAACGAGCGCCCCTACGTCTGCGGCACCTGCGGCAAGGCCTTCACCACCGGCTACATCCTCAAGAACCACATGCTGATACATTCCGGCGAGCGGGCATACAGGTAAGTTGGGGCTAATAACACAACTGCTTACTGCCTAGAAATAATCAATTTAGATATTTTAAAGGAAAGTTAGAACATTTTTCCAGAAACTTAAGTGAAAAACTGTATTACATAAGGGCTTTTCCAGAAAAGGGTCTTGTTTAAATATTATTTGTACTTGGTTTATTAAAAAAAAAACTGTATTTTAGCTAAAATCTAGAAGTAAACTTACAGGCTATGGGCAGCTATGGATTTTAGATTGTGTATCATTCAAGGTTCTAATTATAAAGGGTATCTAGGCTTTTTAACTTCACATTTTTGTTCTAAATCATATTTTAATATCAACAGATATTTGTTTTTTTAACACTTTCATTAATAGAATAAACAAATATGTATAAGAATACTGTTTCTAAACTACTTTCCGATAACTTCCAGAACAGTTTGAAAAATGGCCCTTCAGCCCACTCCAGAAACTAACCATAAATATAAATTCCTTTGCAGGTGCGAACTGTGCGACAAGTCATTTATGCTGCCCACCCACCTGAGCACCCACTTCCGCTCTGGCGTCCACAAGCGACACCTGGAGAAGGCTGAGATGAAGCAGGTCCTCGAGCAGGAGCAAAAGCGGGAACTTAAGGAGGAGGAGGAGGACAGTCTGCACATCTAAAACTGTCCCATTATTATATAGCAATTATGAGCGATTCAAGAACGACAATGGCGCACAGCCAAGGAGCATTTCTGCGAATTATAAATATATACAAATTGTAATAGAACCTAATCTTGAATAATAAATCCAAGCTTCAAATCCCAAGTACAGTGCAATTATTTTAACCATCCTCCATTAAGCGCTTCCATGTGAATGGCAAAAGCAAGCAGCTGATTGAAACGAGCATAGCGTTGTTTACAATCACTTCCGAGGCATTAGTTTTAAATTGTTTTAGCGGCTTGAAAATGGATCTTAAAGTATGTCGCACTTGTGGAAAAAGTACAAATACCGACAGATCAATAAATATATTTGAAGAGCGCAATCAAATCACTCTGGAGCACATCAAACTGATAACTGGGGCTTTGGTAAGAGGATGGTTATGATAGTATAGATCATCAATATTAACTTAAGTTCTTTACTTTAAGTTGGAAAACTGTACCACTTTGCCCAATCTAATATGTTTGCCCTGTCAAACTCGAGTTAAACAAGGCATATCCTTTCGAGAACGCTGCTTGGAGGTGGAGAAGAAACTTCTCGAATCATTGAACGAAGAGTTTATAAAAATCTCTCCGGAATCTCCCAAAAAGATTTTTGAGCCGGAGGAGCACCTGGAACAGTCACAAATCAGTATTGAAATCGAGCGAATGGACAATGTCTATATAGAAACCAGTGAAACGGCCTATCACAAGTTGGAAGACATCCTCAGTGAATCAGAAATCAATGATGATGCGAATAATGACGACGATATAGCTTACAGTGAAGTGGATTACCTTCTTTCCGAAAGCGACCAGGAGTTGGATCAAATCCCAGACCTGCAAACCGCACCTGCAAACGCCAAAACAAAAAAACGTCGAAAATTCTGCGACACCAATGGCACATTCGTCTGCGAGGAGTGCGGAAATCACATCAAAGGGAGGATAGCATTCATACTGCATTGTAAGCGACATCGCGGCGTCAAGGAGTTTGAGTGCGAGTAGGTGGTTATTTTTCCTCTACTGTGGTTTAATCTCATAGCTAATTCTCCTCCATAGATTCTGTGAGGATCGCTTCTGCACGCCGGCGGAACTGAAGCGCCACACTCGCAGGCACACCGGGGAGAAACCCTTCAAGTGTCGACACTGTTCCCGAAGCTTTTCAGATTACAGCACGCGGCTGAAGCACGAGCGGACCCACACAAATGAGCGCCCCTTTGCCTGCAAAGAGTGCAACAGTGCCTTTACAACAGCCTACATTCTGAAGAACCACATGCTGGTGCACACCGGAGAGCGGGCTTTCAAGTGAGCTGCCACTAAAAACAAAAATATAATTTATTAACCTACAATTCACTTTGCAGATGCAACCTCTGCGATAAGTCCTTCAGTCGCGATACACACCTCATCACTCACTATCGTTCAAATGCCCACAAACGAAACATGTTGAAGGAGAGCACTATAGATCAGGACTCGGAAGAATTCATTTAAGAAGCTCTTAAGTTTGATCTTTAACATAATGAAGATAACTACTAATTAAGTTAATCACTATTAAGCTATAAATAAAATTGTATTAACACTATATTTGGCTTTTGAAGGTTGAGTTTGAGTCGTTAGTAATCTAATTTGTACTATAAATAAGAGAGGGTGTTCCCAGAGCTGCGAGACCGAGAGACTCATCCTGATCCTGCTCCGCGGGCAAAGGCACTTCTATCGTAAAGGCAACAGCCTCCGCTTCCGGCTGTTTTCCCGCCACAAATTTTTCCTCAGGTTGGGCTTGTGGCAGCTGAACTCCACTTGACTCTGTCTTTGCTTTCTCCACGTTGTGCTTGTGGGTATTGGAGCGGTAGTGAGTCTTTAAGTGGGTGGGTCGCGCAAAGGATCGATGGCAAAGCTCACATCTGTAATGGATTGGTTAAACTATCATTATACACTTTAGCAAAGTAGCATCTACTAACCTAAAGAGGCGCTCGCCCGTGTGGATGAGCATGTGGTTCTTGAGAATGTACGAGTTGGTGAAACTCTTGCCGCACTGGGCACAAACAAAGGGTCGGTCATTTGTGTGGGTCCGCTCGTGGCGCTGACGTCCGCTGTAGTTGACATAGGTGCGTTCGCAGAAGCGGCACTTGAACTTGCGAGCCCCGGTGTGCATCACCTGGTGTCCTTTCAGCTCGCCAGAGGATAGGAAGCGGGCGGGGCAAAGCCTGCAAGGGTTACAGTATGGAAAAAGAAGTAGAAGTATAACCACATTGTCTCTTACTCGCACTGGAAGGGCCGGATACCGCTGTGCTTGCGCAGGTGACGATCGAAGGAGGATTTTCCCGTGATGTTGTTCCCGCACTGATCGCAAAAGAAAACTGGAAGCGTAACCTTGGGACGCTTTTCACTTTTCCCGCATTTTTTCGATCCCCGACGTCGCGTTCTTTTGACCCTGACCGGTGAGGTGCGCCCATCTTCATCAGTAGAAGAGGACATCTCCTTGATGGCCAACTCCATGTCGGCCTCATTGCAGGAGTCCAGATGATCGATGCCATCGTCTTCCTCGTCGCCATTGCTCAAGTTCTCAAGCTTGATCATGATCTCCAGGGGACTGGGTGGACCGTTTGGATCGGGCTCTTCATGGCGTTGTCTTTGGGAGCGGGCACTACGACGAACAGAGGAGCGGGAGGTGGCTTCTCCGCTCCTGACCACCGATTCCTCGAAGATCTTCTGGCTGCTCAGGCAGCGATCGCGAAAGGATATGGCGATCTTCAGATCCGATTGACATGTTTCGCACATCCAGTCGGGTAGGTCGGGTTCACATTGGAGCTGCCATGAAGAAAAGTCAATTTAAATGGGTAGCAATTAGCATTTTTCATGGACTTACCAGAACGCCGGTGAGCAAATTGATTTGTTGCAGCACTTTTCGAGCACCATTGTTGAATAGTTTCAGTGATTTCGAGTTATCCGTGCTGCTGGCGCACACGCGGCACACGTTTTTAAGCATTTTCCCAGATAATCCGAAAATAAATTAGTAAATTCCCAATTGTAAACATTGACAGCCACACAAAACGTACTTGACATTCGGCACGAAGCACGCGCATTATTGTTTACAGCGGATTCGCTGTGCAACACTGGCGCTAATACAACCGCCAAATAATAACGGTAGCTACTAGCTTAAAACAATATTTAAATTTAGTATATATATTAGCTTAATTTGTTTTTTATTTTCACAAGTTTTTTATTTAAAAACCAAATTATTTGATAGAAACTAACTTAATTTAATTTTTAAAAGATCAATTTTAAAACTAAGCATAAAATTATGATATGCTATGATATAATATTTTTGTTTTTAGACCTAGGTTTAAAATTGACTGTATTTTAATTTATGTTGTTGGATTATAAAAATCAATCGAAAATGAAACAATTAGAACACATATATTAAGTTAATATTTAAAATTTATGAGTAGGAACCAAAAATACTCTTAAAAACCATTTACGATGTTATTATTAAAATCATAAGCGAAGTCCTCATAAATACCATATGATCCAAAAATGATAGCTTTTAACCTACTTCTTCATCTGTGCAATCAAATGATTTTCTTTTAGTTATTCCCTTCTTTTTAAGACACTTTTCTTCTTTTAACTTTTCAATATTTTTTTGGTGCATTATTGATTCGAAGTGTGTTGTAAGATGTGCCTTTCTCTGGAAAGAGCGATTGCAAAGTTCGCACCGGAAGTTCCTCTCGCCCGTGTGGATAACCATGTGGTTCTTGAGGACATAGGCGGTAGTAAATTTCATGCCACACTTTTCGCACACATAGGGTCTCTCATTGGTGTGAGTCCTCTCGTGGGTCATCCGGCCCATGTAGCTGACGTACCTCTTCTCGCAGTAGCGACAGCCAAACGGTTGCTCTTTACTGTGGACGCGGAGGTGGGAACGTAGTTCGGCGGCAGTGAGAAACCTGGCACGACACTCCCTAAAAAAAGATACGAAATTAGCATATAAATCTACAATTTCAATCAGAAGGCGAGCCGTACTTGCAGCCAAATGGTCGTATTCCCGTGTGTTTTTTCATGTGCCGCTGGAAAATGGATTTCGATTTGGCATGAGTCCCGCACAGCTCGCATATGTAGATCTGATCATCGGTTTTGGGTTTGCTCGAAATTCTGAGAATCTTTTGATGTGGTCCAGAGGCTTTATCTATTTCTTCTTTTGTGCTGCAGCAATCTGTTACAAATTCCAATTTCTCTAATTCCTCCGCTTCAGGTATCAGCACATTATCCGAGGGCTCCTCCTCAATTAGTATCTGAAACGTTTCTTCCAGCACTTTGTCATCATCGGGTTCCCTAAAAGTGCTGACCGTAGCACTTTTTTCCGATTTGAGCTTCGGTTTTGCTTTAAAACTTTCCTCGTCCGATGAAGAATCTTCCTCGAAGGTCAGCCATTTTTGTTGGGTCTTAATGCACAACCTTCGGAATGCCAGTGCCGATCTGAGTTCCGACTGGCAGCAGCGACACATGAAACCAGGAGCATTGTCCAGTGGGCACAACTTTAATTTAGGCTTATTATTTATCTGCATTTTTAAACAACGCTTTGTAAACTCACCCTAAGGCCGGTTATCATATGCAAGTGCTTTAGATACTTTCGGTTGACCACGTCGAAGAGATTGAGACTCTTCTCACAGATCTTCTGCCTTCCGCACACTCTGCAGACGTTGTTCAGCATCTTGTTTCCTCAGCTCGACTGATTGAAATGCAATTGAATACTAAGCGTTTCATCTGAATAAAACAGCTGTGTCGTCAGTTTAATGTATTCAATTCGGCATATTGGGGGTTTGTAAAATGGGTTGAATCTTTATTTGAAAATGTAAAGTTTTCTTAAACATTCTAGCAGTCTGATAAATCAGAAACTGTTTAAAAATTGTAAAATATTAAGTAAACTATCAATGGGCATTGTAATCAACATAAGTACCATCTTGAATCTTTAGATGTGCAAGGTTATAATAATTAAAGATAGTATTGTTTACCTTTGAAGTCAAACAGATAAGCAGTAAAATGTTTTTGGGATAACACAAATAAATGGATGCACATAAACTGCTGCTGTAAAAAAGTTTATCTTACTTTCTTATCTTTTGTTCGCTTTTGGGTCCTACGTTCCGCCTCTGCGGGTTTTATATTTCTTATAACTCTTGGGTAATAATGAATAGTTTTTGTTTTTTAAGTTAAGACTTTTGGAAGACGTCGTGAATAAATTGAATTTCTGCATTTTTAAAAGCATTTAAGGTAACCATTAATGAGTGCCATTTTCAAAACTTTTTTGAGATTTAAATTTTTAAAATTCTTAAATCTAAAGATTAACATTAGGAATTATAAATGCATGTTTTGCCTGAGATTACAATTGATATTTGTGAGATTTTTGGCACTTTTGTGATATTTAAGAAGTTTGGAATGTTTGGGAAATATGATATGGCAACTAATAAGTATTTAATAACTACACGGTAGGGAAACTGTAGCTGAAGATTTTCAGAGAAGTAAAAACTACTAATATTTGCAGCGCTAGATTTTATATGGTCCTTTATAGATGTTTTCTTTTTTGGAATTTCTACTGAGTTAAATTTCCTGACATAATATATCAAAATGTGACTGCACCAAACTTCGTCGACAGGATTGGCGACTTGGGAGCTTTGGACCAGCTTGAATAGGTATCACAACTGGCCACTGACATGGTTTCCGATGATGATGAAGCCAATTCTGAATTTAGTTTGTGCGTGTTGGAGTCGAGATGGGCCACCAGGTGTTTTTTTAAGCTGAACGACCGATCACAGACTTCGCAGCTGAAATAATATTAAATTAGAATGCTTTTTAGTAATGGCACAAAAATGTTGGTTAGTGTTTAAGACCCTTACCCGAACTTCTTAACAATGCTGTGCGACTCCATGTGGGCCATCAAGATGCAGGTCCTTGTGAAGGACTTGCCGCACTGGTCGCAAACAAAGTTTCGTTCGTTGGTGTGTACCCTCTCGTGCTTTTTTCGGCCAGCCATGGAGAAGTAACGACGTTCGCAGTAGCGACATTGAAACGGAGGCTCAGCGGTGTGATTGCTGAGATTGTGGGCCTTCAGTTCACTGGCTGCCAAAAAGCCCCTTGGGCACTCCCTTAAAGCATGGTCGTATAAGTAGATTTATCAGTATTAAGATAGTATGTTAATTAATTAATAATTTAAGGAAAATCTAAAGAACTTGTAAGCATAACTATAAGCTGGATAAATATAATTATGTTAATTATAATTGATTAATACAAATATGGTTAAAACTGATCAGTCATAATTCTGGATAGATTCACTTACTTGCAGGGAAAGGGTATTTTCCCGGTGTGTTCATATTGGTGCCTATCCAAGGATGATTTGTTGTTCTTAATGACTCCACAAGTGGCGCACTTGTAGACTTTAATATTTGGTATTTCGTTATCTAAATCCAAAAGCTCCTCGTCATCATCTTTTGCATCTATTCCTCCAGATTTTTATCGCATTCCGGGGTTTCTGATTCTGTGGAGATATCCACAGGTTGGTCAAACTCATCATCACCACCTGTTGCTTCCGCTGAGGGTTTATTATCGGTCGGAACGACAATGTCCACGGTTCTACGGGCAGTGTGGATTGCTTCTTTCGTCGTTGGTATTTTCTCTTGGGAACAAGAGGTTTCGGTTTCTCTTTCGGTTGCACCTCCATTTTGTCCAGCTCCTTGGCCTCCTCCACCGGCATCCATTTTTTCTGCTGCAAGATGCACTGCCTGCGGAACATCATGGCCGAATTGAGGTCCGTCTGGCAGCAGAAACACAACATGTCCGGCGCATTGGGGATCTGCTGAAGCTGTTCCAAGAAAAGGGCAACGCTTATCAGAAAATTTCGAGATCTAATTATATTTATGGGCAAAACCTTACGCGAATTCCGGTGATTAGTTCGATGCGGCGCAGGGTGCCCTGTCTTCCGGAACTGAATATCTGCACGGCTTTGGGGCATAGCCTGCTCCTGCCGCAAATTCGGCACACATTTATTAACATCTCACGTTACGTTTCTTTTCAAAACAAATAAAATGAAAAATGGTTGGGGCCAAAAGGCCATTCACCGCGAAAGGCATGCACCAGCAGTGTTGAAAAACGAAAAAAGGTGATCGTTTAATTTAAATTGGGCGCCAACTTTTGAGATTCTAATTGGAAAACATTTCTATTATAGTTTTCAATTTAATTAGTTAATTAAGATAATATTCGCTATAAACTTTTATATTTAAAATGCATTGTATTAATTAAGGATTTTTAAAAGACTACTGTGATCAATCCTGAAATAATAAAAAAAGCATTTTTGGGTTGTGTAGTTTATGTGAAATGATTTTGATTTATTTTGGGTGAGAGTTTTGAACTACTGCGGCCAGGGCAATTGCGAACTATTTTGGAAACCATAAATTTAATGCCGAAACGGAGTCCCGGTGAAAGGAGTAAGTACTAAGCATTGGAGCAGTCGTTGTCCTCGTACCCTTGATCATGTTGTCTTTGATCTGCAGGTCCTTGTGGAACAGGATCTCGTTGTGTAGCGCCTCCTCGCGCTCTCGGGCTATCTTCAGCTCCAGGAGATCGAGGCGCCGTCTCTCGATCATGACGCGATAGCGATGGAGCTCCTGCTGTCGCTGCCGGAAAGTGGGAGGGTGGTGGTGCCCGCACTTCCGCTACTGGCACTGGAGCACTTGTTGCCCCCCGCTGCTGGGGATGATCCGCCCTTCGTCCGGACGGCCACCTTGCTCACCGCTGTGCGACGCCTAACCGGGGATGTGCTCCGCCGCGTCGCCTCCATGAACGAGGAGATGGTGGGCGCCGAGACATGGACGCTGATCAGTTCGCTGCGCGGTCGGGTCCTGGCTCCTGGTCCTGGACGGGACTGTTTTTGGGGACCTCCAGCTCGCCGGAGCAGCATGAATCCGTGTCGTTGGCTATCGACAGGCGCCTTCGGTGGGCGAACCGAGGCGCCACCTCGCGCACCACACACGTCTGCTGCGGCGGCAGGCTGAAGGACTCCAGTTGAAGTCCGATACCATTTTGCAGGGCGCCGATTCCCGGTCGAGCTCGGGCATCGCTCAGGGGCCAGTTCCTTGCTCCGCTTGTGCTTCAGCGACTCGTGGGAAGGCTTGTAGCGCAATGCCAGGCTAGGCTTTGCGGTAAGAACTATATCCGCCGGATCCTCCTGCTCCACTCCGGCTGTCCTCTTTTCGCCTTTGTGCCGCTTATGGATTCCGTCGAAGAGTCGCCGCCAGTAGATGAGCGCTCGTTCCTTGGGACTGATCTCCTTCACTTCTGGCAGAGAGGTGGCCGATGTTTGGGGATTGGCACTCCAGGATGGCTCCCGCTGGCCGACCGACTTTTTGCCCTCTTCGATGCTGCTTGCTTCCTTTTTCTCCAGATCACGGACTAGCAGCAGCCAGTTCTCAGTGGCCGTGCGTTTTTTGGCGGGCACATCGGTGACCTGGCTTCGGTTCTGCTGTCGGCAGGCTGCGCGCTGGAATGCGGCGATAGTTGACCAGGGAATCGAAGGTTTCCTCCTCCTCGCTGAGCTTCCACATGACGCGGCGACTGTTGCTGGACATGGACTGACCAAAGGCCTCATCTGCAAAAGGAATAATCATTTAATATTTCATTTGGGCAGCTTCTTTTATTAAACTCACCCGACTTGTGGCTTCTATCCATGGAGATTACTTGAATTTTCCGTTGAACGAATCAACTTCTCCGGTCTCTTATAATTGCCACAGGCCTGCAGCAGTTCTGGTTTTGAATTTTAAGAGAAAACTAATTTGGAAGACCTGTCTGTGTGTAGCTGAAATATATCTGAAATTTTGCCGACACGAAATAAAATACACCTATCACACATACTCCAAAAGATCGTACTGAACCCGTAGCCTACTAACAACAGATGCTGGTTCATTGGTTTTGATCTTTAATTGGTACTTTCATCGAGTGTATAAATCTCTTAAGTTTTGGGTTTTTCTTTGTTTATTAACTATCCGTTTTACACGCGCTTTAAAAGTATGTTAACATTTTGCGTTTAACGAAATTACATAAATATTATACAGGTAAATTATTCAACATAGGATGTGGCTTTGGTTTTGTTCCAGCTTCCAGCGGTTTTCTTTAATTAAAATTGTCGGTTTGTTTTTTATTAAAAGCATGAGATTTGCGGACTGTTGAGAGTTTTGTGATCGACTTGTGCGCTAATTTGCTATGAAACCACAAAAAGGTCTTACAAATTATACACAATCTTCGGTGTAGCTTACAAAATGTTTGTGAACATTAGTGACTAGCATTAGTGGAGCTGAATTTGGGGCTCCAATCCTCGATTCCTTTCAGGCGGGGATAATTGAGCGTGATTTATCGGGGGTTTCAGTTGCCAATAGGCAGAATTAGTGAGAAGAATTTCGCAAGGACTTTGCGGCACTATAATGGAGGGTTTTTGCCTAGTTTTTAACACTCTAAAAATGTTTAATATGATTTAGCTAATTTGTTTTTCTTTCTGCTTTCTTGTAAACGTTTTCCCACTTGGGCTTGCTTTGTTTTTAGTACCGTCTTGAACATGTTATTTACGCTATATGCTAGTTTTATATAAAGTATTTTCATTAAAGTACACACATGGTCTAGACTTTAGCTGGGCTTCATTTTGTTTTGTTCTCCTTTTGAATATTGGTATGAACTACTAACTGCTTCGCTGAGTGGTAATGAATTATTTTGATGTCCCCTCAGCGATCTTAAGCACAATTCACATGATTCGGTTTTTGACTAGATTTTCTGACATATTCTATTTTGTTTTTTTTTACAATTCTTTTTAAGATTCGAGCTATCTGTGAACTATTATAAATTATTTCCACACATTAAATTTGTTTTGGGTGTTTTTCAATATTTTTTACAAAAAAATTGTCATCTTAAAAATGTGAAAATTATTCAAGTTTAAGTTTTTGCTTGTTGTCTTATATTGGTTCCAATTGATGCTTAAATGTTAACAATTTTTGTATATAAAACCGTTAAATATATGTATATAAGAGTGTGTGTATGTTATCATAAACCTTACTATACATAAGTTTAATATGCTACATATGTTTTTTTTGTTTCTGTTTGGTTTCCTCCTCGGCCATGAGCAATTTAGCTGCCTCCTGTTTCCAATTTATCCCCACTACATTTCATTACACCTCATCCTATTCATTTTCGATCTTGTATATTGCTAAACTTTCGCATGTATATTTGTTGTTGCTGGTTGGCTGATGTTGCTGTCTATGTGGCTAATCATAAGTTACTGGACGACACAGCGAGAAAACGAAGACGATGGCATACCACACCTCGGTCAGGTAGAGGGCGATCTGCAGCGTGCACAGGCAGTACTCCAGGCGCAGTCGGTAGGTCTGCAGGAGCAGCAGATAGGAGACGCCCACGAAGCACGGTGCGGTCATGAAAACCGACAGTATGGCTGTCCAACCTGGGATGAAAAGAGGGGAAGCTGTGAGATATTCATAGCAAATCGTTGCATATTAATATGAAAAAGTTAACTATCGAAATGAATTATGGGGTCTTTTAGTATCCTAAAGTGAAATGAAATGTTCATATTTATTCATATATCTCAGATTTAGAATTCATTCTGATTTCGTTTAAAGACATTAATAAACCGCATCTGCGTCAAATGATAACACCCCCTGCACTAGTATTGTTTAAGTTAATCCTAAAATTAGATTGGCAGGCGGGGGAGCTTTCTACCTCGATCGGCCAGCGAACTCGCGCGTCCCATTATCAGCCGAATCGTCTCGAAGACAATGAAGCTAATCATCACCCCCGTGTCCAGAGCCAAAGTGTGTCCCGTGTAGCTGAGATTGATGGCCTTCAGGAGGCCCATGGCCATCTCGCAACAGGCGAACATGCCGAAGTAGAACGAGTTAGGTAGATCAACACCTCGTAGTTCATGCTGGGATTCGGCTTCTTCGGCACGAGCGGCGGCGGTCGCTTGGGCGGCATCTTTCGCCGGCTTAGCCCTCCTCCTCCTCTGTAGTGTTCCTGGCTGCTGTTCCTCCTGTTACCCCTTGATGTCTACGGCAAATTGGCCCGAATCGATCTCCCGGATCGCTCACACGACGGCGTTGCTCACGTTGGGCACTGTATTTATAGACTGACCATAATAATAACGCGGACCTGCCGTGCGGCTCGCTTGGCCAATGCAGCGGCATCGGCATCGGCGGTCTCACGGTTTGTCGCTGCGAAATGTGCTGTTTATTTGAATAATGTGCTGCTGGTCGTTGTCGCCTTTTATTTGTTTTCTCAGCTCGGTGTTTTGGTCAGCATTGACCGGCGGATGGCCTGCCCAGAAATGTGGGAGAATGATTTCACTGGCCATGACAGCGTTATTAGCAAAAATGTCATTAAAACTCTCCAGGCGACGAATCCCTCGGGCAAGGAACTGCCCTAAAATGTTTCCCTACAATTATTTGTGAACCGAATGTCATCGTAGGCATTGGCAGACCACATTCTTTAAAATAGAACAATAACATTTAAAATACTCATGAAAATAACATAGATGTTGGATTAAATTATTAAAAGTTCCTCACGTAAGTTTATCAAAATGATGCCGCGAATTCTTCAGTACCTAATATTTATTTTAAAAGCATTCATAGGGATACATCAACTGTCTCCCAAAGCACTCTCCTTTTAATTCTACAGAGTACGATGGCTAGCCAAGACCGAACCGAGAGCTCACTGACATCAAACAGCCCTCTCATCTGGCCATTCTAGCCAGCCTAACGTATCCGCAGTGGCCCGTGTATATTACATTCAAATTAGAAGTGTACATTGCACCTAGGGGACAGCAGCGGTGTTGCACGAGCATGCAGTTCGCATATAATTTTAGACCATCAGAGCCGTATAAAAATACCAAAACCGAGCGAGTCCGAGGAGCAACTGCGCCAGCAGGGAGGCAACGCCACAAAGGCCGGACAAAAGAATGCAACCAAGAAATGCAAATTAAATGCAGCTTTGCTTTTGATAGAATCGGACGCGTCGTGTTTCGTTGCGATGTGATGCCCGTGGCCGCGACTGATCTGTGCGGGTTATATAAGTTGATAAAGGTTCACGTACCTTGGTGAAAATCCTCCTCACGATGCCACCCAATGGGTATGTTTCGGCTCTAATATGTGGGTGTTTTACGTGAATCCTTAAGCGGTCTAGTGTAGTTTGTTGTGTGCGGTGGCTTAGTTTGCATCAAAGTGGCTCAGTTTTGTGGCCTTTGCGAATCGCTTGATGTGAAAGTGCCAAAGGAAAGTGTCTCGTCTTCGTCGTAGTCGTCGCTCGGCTGTGGATGCTCCTCCTTCTCGGTCTCCTCCAGGTGGGAGTGTTAGTGCTGGCTTGGTCTTGATCTCGATCTTGGTCGTTGACGTGGCGGCGGCAACGTGGTTTATCAACTGCTAGGTGTATGTCACGGGGCGACACATTGTACAAATGAATATGCTGGCGTAGACTAGTTCAGCACCTTGTAGGGTGATCATTAAGGCACTCAGAATAATTTCGAGTTTGAGAACAAAGGTTTGAAAACAACACAAGTAGATAACAATAGCAAGACTGGGCAGTGTTAATATTACGGATGCGGTTGCTTGCCAGCCTGTAATGAGAAAAAAAGAGGGATAATGTAAACTAAAACTGTACAGAAAATTATCGTATTTAATTCGCCCCAGTTAGAACATGATTAACATTCGCTTTGTTTATAATTAAATTGGTTCGCGGCTGTCATTGAAATATTTACTGTTTGAATCGATATTTCATGTCCTGCCGAATTAGGCTGATTAAATGGTCTCAATTTTATTCAACTTTTTTTTAATTTAAATTTAAGTTCTTTATTGGAAGTAAATGATTTTATATATGATTTATAGCATCAATATTAAGAGCCCCAATTTGTTTTTGAATTTATTTTTCAGCAATAGATGCGGAGGTGGCTCATTCCGATGAATCGCTTTGATAGATTTCCATCGAATATTGCCTAATGTGCCAGAAGGGCGCCTTCCCCCTGCCGCCCTAAAACGAGCGTAAACTCATCCGGGGTGATGACCATAATTACGCATACGCCGTGTGGAATACATATACGTATATGTACGCCCAAACGTTTATGGGTTATGGCCTCAGTAGGAAGGGGCTGGGAATGGGAATGGGAATTGGTATGGGGATGGTGACCGGGCAAACAAATAATTTCGCCATGTCATCATCGCTGCCGGTGGTTTTAACCATCCCTTCCATGCAGTACTACAAACTAATAGACTCACCACGATCGCTGAGACTGCTCTTGCGGCCGAAGACGATGCGCAGGGTCTCGATGATGCACAGGGAGAGCAGGATACTGATCTCCCGGGACAACGCGTTCTCGCCGTAGTTCAGATTGATCGCCTTTAGAACGCCCACGCCCACCTCGAAGGCGGCGTACATGCCGAAGTAGAACGAGTTCAGATACATGAGTATCTCATAGATGAGGCTGGCGTTCATGGTGGCTGCTACTCCAAAATCGAGTCCGTATCCGTGTCCTCCTCCGTTGCTCCCAGTTTCTCAAGGCGGCAGGTGCGTCGCCTCCAACTGGTTGGATGTCACCTGGGCAGTTTGGAGCAGCTCCTCCAGCTTCTCCACAGGCAGCAGCAGCAGCAGCAGGTGTTTTGGCTTCCTTACGCCAGCATTTGGGACCTTTGGGTGGTATTGGGTTGTGGGTGCCTGATAGACTGAAAGAGTTTAGCTAATTGCGGTCTGCTCACATGTACATATCTACAGTCAAACTTGCCTAGATAGAACTTTCGTACAAAAAGGATGCACTGAAAAGTCGCTAAGAACTTCTTCTAATACATAAATCTATAATATATACATATATATTTATTAAATATAGTTCATACTATTTTGGAACATTGGAAACGTTTTCAAATTACTCAGTGAAACTCATGGTCTTTTTCTGTTGCCAACTGTTGGTTCTACTTTTGGAAGTTTGACTGTATTTACTTATCGCCCTCACCTCTTCCAATGCTTCCTCTTCTCCTCCCTTTCCTTTACTTCGCCTCTGCTCTTCCTCTAGCTGCTCCGCCGTTGCTTCTGTTGTTGTTTTTCTGGATGATGTCCCGTTGTCATGGGAGTATGTATAATGTAATATTCGCAGGCGACAACTCTATGCTAATATTAAGTACATGCGTTCACGTTTATTTATACGCGTGTGCGTTGTTGTTGTCCGCTGGCCAGGCTGGTTGTTGTTGGTTTGTTGGTGAGAGAAGAGACGAGTGGCACATAGAGGGGCTTATATAAAAACTCTGCCCATCGGAACCTCCCCGCGCTGCTCCACGCACAAGCACAAGTGTGGCCATGGCCGAGTAACGGACAAATCGGCACTTTCAATTGGAGAAGTGCGAGGGGTTAGCGTTTCCAGGCAAGCGTGTTTTGGTCACACTGGAAGTGTAAACATAACTCGTTGATTTCATAAAATTTACCCACTTTTCAGTTTAGAATTGTAACCAATCTGTACAGGGAAACTATCTGTAATCATTCAAAGCATATTTTCTTATAACAATCCTGTTAAGCGTCTGTTTCTGTGGCAGTTTTGCAGTCAAAAATGTTGTAATTTTAAAGAATTATAAACAGAATTAGAATTTTGTATACCTCAGCCACTGATAATGGTAAATTTAAATTGCCCGCCAAATATGCTGTCGGATTGACAGCTAGTAACCCAAACGATTACTTTATATTCGATAACTTTAGAATCGAACGCATTCTGATACCGAGTATGACTATCGGTTTCGATATGTACTATCGCCTGCACTAGAAACGGTCACTCTAAAAAGACTAAAAATTAAATTAAGTTAAAAACTTTATTTACCTCAGGTTTCCTGTGTTTTTGCAATGCCGGCCGATCAAATCCAGTACTCGGAGAAGTACTTCGACGATAACTTTGAATACCGGTAAGTGGCACATGCATTTCAACGACAGCGCAGTGTTTGTTTATCTTTAAACTGGAATCCCCCCTCGCAGGCACGTAATACTTCCCCAGGACTTGGCCAAACATGTTCCCAAGGCGCACCTGATGACCGAGACGGAGTGGCGCAATCTGGGCGTGCAGCAGAGTCCTGGCTGGGTGCACTACATGGTGCACGCCCCGGAGCCCCATGTGATTCTGTTCCGGCGCAAACGCATTCCGGCCGAGGACGCTCCACAGGTAGCTGCCGCCAACGCGGCCCAGGCCATTGCGAATCTGTGCGGTTAGGCCCGGCCATCCATCCCATCACTTCACACTTCCAAGGACTCTAACCAATGCTCACGCAGTATTTCATAAGTTAGCATCAGAGAAACTGATGTAAAATCAATACCCATAGCTTTAAGAGCAGTTCAGCTGGCAAGTTCAAAAACACGAAACGACATGGAGACAACGTTTCTGTTAATTTCATTAAGTTTATATACCTAAAATACAAATCGAAGCGTACGCCCTGTGTACAGACAGTTAAAAAGTAGTGATTAATTAATTGACTAATTGTAGCAGCGCCACACCGCCGGCAGCAGGCGATCCGTCCAGCTCTCAGGTGGGCTCAGGTTGCAGTTCTTTAAAGCGTAGTGCTCCATGGCGTACAGTGAGACCAAGCTGGCACTGCCCATGATCAGCGAGAACCACAGGAAGATGTTGCCCATCACTTTGGGCGCACTCCGCATGAGGAAGACCAGGGCAACTCCCACGACGCCGAAAAAGAAGAACATCACTGGGAAGAACATTTGCAGGGCAAAGCCAAGGACCTGCTCGTGCACTGCGGCGGAGATCATGAACACGGCAAGCGAGGCGGCCACCTTGGAGCCCCGGAAGACATGATTGTACATATCCTTGTAAACGTACTCGTACAGCCAGTCGTGTACGACCACATTCCAGTTCCTGTAGTACGCATCGTACGTGTGCGACGTCCACCAGTCCTTGTAGAACATTCGATCGCCGAAGCGCAGCAGCTCCGCCGTGAAGTTGAGCCACGAGTGCAGGATCAGGTAGAAGCCGCACAGGAAGATCACCGAACTGGGCATCATCATGCCGAACAGCTTGAGGATAAGCTGCGAGGGGCCCATGGGCTCCAGGCCGTACTGTGCGAAGTGCTCGTGTATGTGCCGCTCGTGGATGAAGGCGTAGAGGAAGGCAATGGCCACCACCTCCAAAAAGCGATTCAGGGCGAACTTCCAGCGGATGTGGGAAGTGCGTGGATAACTATCTCGGTAGATGAGCGTGGGGGCAAATAGGAAGTAAATGTAGCAGCTCAGTGTCGGCACAAAGGGTCGTCCCGTTGCCTCCTTCTCCTCCTCCGCGTCCTCTTTCTTGGCCTTACCACCTAAAACCCGCTCTGCATTGTACCGCACAAATGCGTGCATTTTCATCAGCAGGCGAGTGCTTTCCAGCAAAAGTACACAGGCACTAACGAAAGGCAGGTTGAACTTCAGGCAGAGGGAGGTGGACACAAAGCAAAACACCAGCTGGGAGCTGATGTACATGATTAGGCAGCTGTGCGACCAAAAGCGCCGAAGGGCACCTGCAAGATAGGGAAAGTTAGAATATTTATTTAGAACAGAGTAATTTGGAGGAACTATATAAAAATTCAAAGAATTAGATAGAAACCTCTTTTTTACTTTATAAACAGATACATTTTAGTCTTAAAAGTCAGGTATAAAACTTAAATACTTAAAGCCACCATTTGACAAAGAAAAACACATAAAAAACATTGTACAACTTTGATGTGATGACTAATTATTAACACGCTTTTCCTTTGTTATAAGCTGAGTCGTCACAATTTCTTGGCTAAGTGCGTCAAAAATACTTTGAATTGCTTAAAAGGCTTATATTATAAGCGTGCCTTTATGAGGCTGGAATAGTTAATGTTTTAACAATGGATATGCATTTTAAATGTGTCTCTGAATGGAGTTAAATTTGACTACAATTCATTTTAATAATTTAATCTAACTAATGATAGTAAACTTTTATAATCTTTTTAAAGAAAGCATTTCTTCTAGAAATTAATAGAGGTTTAGAAGTTCAACTGCATTTAAATTAATTCATCCTACTTACTGTGCGGTTTCAGCTTGTGCCTGACCAGAGCCCATCCGCGAAAGGCGAAGTACAGGGCCAGGACGAAGACGTGCTCCAGCATCCAAACGCCTGCTACCCAGTGCAGCCTTTGGAGTCCTCCACGGATGGTGTTCAGCCCCAGATCGATCCGCCCCTCCACGAAGTAGTCATGGCAGATCACGTTCAGCAGGAACATGACCAGAATAATGTAGAAGATGTGGTAGATGGTGCGCATGTGCTCCACCTGCAGCAGAGCGGTGAGGTACGATTCCCGGGCAACGAAGACTTTTTCGGGCAGTTGTCGCTGTCGCTGTTTTTGGCCGGATTTTTGGGCTTGGAGCGGTGGCCTTGGACTTGTGCCATTTGCATGACCATTTGGAGAGTCGCTGACGTCCGTGGGCGCTTGGCTGGTCACGCGATTATGCCAGGTGCTCTTCCGATCCGACCGCTCGAAGTTGGGGAACTCGTGGGCCCGCAGCTCCCGCTGTCGTAGATCCTGGAGCACATCCTCCACCATGCAGGACAGCCGCTGCTCGAAGTCGGTCAGCATGTTGGACTGGAACTTCTGCAGCTTGTCGCGCACAAAGTTGAGGTCCGGCAGCCTGGGTTGCGCATGCTCCTGGTGGTTGTCTCGATTTTCCTGTGTTTTCGCCTCCATGACTGATGTTTATATAAAATTAGTCCCTTATTTCAGGGTGTTAGTCTTGACCACCTAGTGGAATTTATAGCCGCGTTTCTCAATAAGAGCGACTGCCCCCGGCGACGCCAGTTTGCACAATGCTCGACTGCGTTGTTTTCAAATCCGCGATGATAACGGCGCTCGGCTGACTTGTCACAAGGGGCGTTGATTAAGGGGGGTCAGTATGATCGTTAAAATCATTATATAAATATATCAATCTATTTATTTTAATTTTACACTAAGAGCAATTTGAAGTATCGCAATAATTTAAAACTAATCAATGTATTTATTTTACGTATCATGAAAAAAAATTCAAAAAAAATTTTTTTTATTTCTATGCAATATTTTGTAAAAAATTTTCAATTGTTTACATTTGACAAACTTTAAATTCATCAAAATGTATTACTTTTGAATCATGAATCATAAATTTGTAGATATATTTTTTACTAAAAATATATGCATCGTGGGATACATTTTGGACTATTTTGAACTATTCTCAAAGCAAATATTTTTAATATACGGCATTGTAAAAGATCAAAAGAAATATAAAAAAATGTATAATTAATATATCTTGTGATCTATTATGAACAAAATTATTTATTTTATTGTACCTACATATATTATTAATTAAAATTTGTTTTTTTCTGTTAGTTGGGTTAATATGGTTTTATTTTAAATTTTGACTACGTCTCTGGCTTTTGCTCTCTTAGGCACTCTCTTCGTTTGATCGAGCCTCCCGCTCGAACGCCCGCGACATTGGGACTGGGGCTGAGACCTAGTGTTAAGATTAATACAAGTGTAATTGAAATACATTTGGTTTAATATCTCGCACTTTGAGCAAAACGACTAGCTGTCAACGGCACCTTAATCAGTCTATTCTACGCCTCAAGTGCCGATAAGCCCTCTGCTGTCCATTGGCCTCGTGGTTTTCTGGGCAGGCGAGTGCACATGCACTTGATTGTTTACAATGATGCTGACCCGATTGCTTGAAGCTCGGTGCATTGCGCACAGTGGGGTCATCACTGTGGAACTAATCTTAATAAAAAATTGAACTTTTTACAGATATTTTTAAATTTAAATTTAAAAATCACTAATTGGTGTGTTATATATAGGAACTTCTTTACTTTTTAATATAATATGTATAATAAATTAACAATTATTTAAATATAAAATGTATTTATAACTTTCTAGTGTATTAAATAGGATGATAAAAATATTTATAAGAACCAAAAACCTCCATGGTGTTTTCATTTTAGTTCTTAGCTTTAAGAATGCCATAAAAGTTCATTTATAACGTAGAAATGTATGTATGTCTATCAAAGTTTATGCGTCTATTGATAGGGGATAATAAAACTATTAAGATTAAGAAGGTTTTGTAATCATATTGTGGTTAAGCGCTCCTGTTATCGTGATGTACTTACAGAAATAATCTAAGTTGATTTGTTGCCTAATTTATAAAGGCGCACTACTTTAGAAATGTTCTATGAAATATTAAACATAACTATTTGCACAGCAATGAATGAATTGGTATTTCTCAAGATATTATCAGAGGCTTATAATTATTTTGTTTCATAATAAGCCATATCTTACAGTTCACTTCTTAATAAAGGTTTCAAAAAGTGATATAACTATCATATTATTTTAACAATTTAAAAGCTGTATCAAATTTAAGAAGAAATGTTTTGATATAACTATTGTATACTATTTAAAGAGAGAAAAGCTGTATCAAATTCAGGATACATATAATGTTTTGCACATGCCAGCAAAGGAATATTAAGTCAACTAAAGTCCAACATAACATAACATACATTTAAATGCTTAGTTTTGTTGGCTGCCTGTGGTGAATGCATTGAATCATTGAAAATGGTTTCCTAATATTTTCAAACAAATACTTAACTTGTGTGTAAATTATGAAATTTTTAATTAACGCATTTTTCAAAGCCAAAAAAAATTGCAGCAAAAATGGTAGATAGTTTTGCTGCATCCAATATGGCCCAAATTGCGAAATGCCATGTGTGTGTTTGTATGTTTGTGTATTTTGGTGTATTTTTGGCATATTTAATTGCAAATATTTACGAGAGTGTAAGTTTATGCATATGTAATGTGTACGAGTGGAATAAAAACAAATACACCAGCACAAACATAGTGTTTTGATAGCGAAAAATGAGCCGAAATTAAGGCTCACGGCCATGAGTCCTGCGGTTCGCAGGATGCAAGCGGTGTGTGTGCGTGTGTGTGGGTGTGCTGGAAATAATATTAATACTGTGCAGACGCAATAACCAAAAATATTTATTATTTATGCGAAATAAACAGCAGCGGCAAGAAAAACTCAACGCACATACCCATAAACCAAATATGAAATTAATGCAAAAATGACAACAGCAGCCAGTGGCTAGAGCCGTGGCCCGACCAAAGAAAAAATAACAGCCAAAAATGGAGAGTGTAATATATATGAAAATAGGAATAATAAAAGCTGCGCCAGTACCAGGACACTCGTAAAGCACAGGGACCCAAAGCGGGGCGAATCCAAGTCGAGTCGCAGCGTATTCATAAACATGCCGCCCGAAGGCGGCCATTACGGACGGGAGATCCTTTGGCCGGGATAGGAGACAAACGTACACATAAAAAGACATTTTTATTGCCCCCCAAAACCGAAGCGTCGGGGCCAGCACAAAAAAGAGGGAGAAGCAAAAAAGGCCACAAAAATAATATGCGACCGCATAAAAATCTATATA